ATAATTGACCGACATTCATAAATCGTTTGAATAATTTTATTCGAAATATTTTTAGGTCAGGTTGAAATTAAGAAAAAATTGCTCATATTTTGGAGAGCACTCGGGATGAAAATAAAAATATGCCTCAATTTGCTAATTCTCAATTGTTCCCCCTGCTGAAATAAATATAATTCAACCATTGACACCTGCACGTTAAAGCTAATGAATAACAGAATGTGGTATTAAAAAAGCTATCCATCTGTTCCCCATATGCCCTAGATATTGATGCTTATCGAAAGAATGATTTTTGCGTAAAGTATGAGACGATAAACTAGTGTTAGTCGTTGAGGTAAGTTGATCGAACGGAGGTTCCGACAGACTGGTTGAAAGGGAAATTATCTCAAATAAATGATTGATTACGTTCCCTACCACAATACTTTATCGATAACATAATCAAATGATCAGCAATAGACTAAAAAATACAAAAAAAAGGAGACGATAGAACGAATTCAACAGATATGTAAATATTTTCTTAACCGAATATATAGCATGTTCAATCAATAGGTAACGTTTTCGTTAGAGCCATTGCACGAATTGAAAATCGTTTTTAATGATTAATCTGTCGCCGGTAGATAAGTATGTTATGCGAATATTTATTAGCGCAGCGTATGCATGACAATTAATATTCCAGCGATACATTTTAGACGGGCTCCTCGAGGATGAATTTTTATAATGAGTATTAGTAAATTATATTTATCATCAGCAAAGGTAACCCTTCTCCTTCTTTCAGATATCGTTGATGCCTTCTGAATTCTATGATCATAGTTTCTATTTTTGAGGCTATTATAATAACTACACCTACGTACACAATAAATTCGATTATTCTTTCGGCATTTACACGCGAACGTCGATTCGTTCGAAAATGAATGCCGATATTGTTTTATCTAGTGCAGAGGTGTTACCGACCGTTAATATTATCACCCGTAGATAATGAAGAAATTCCCGAGTGCAGAATGACAAAAATAAAAATTCAGAGGGTTTTAGAAAAATGCTTTCAAAATCAAGTCTGTAATATGTAAGATGAAAATAATGGAGGTGTAACAAAAAGTTGATCGATACAGAACAGCAGTATAAATATAGAGGCAGATAAATTTTATTATTGAGACGATGGAGAAAGGCATTAAAAACTAGGAGTTCTTCCTGGTCACAAAGATCCTTGAATTTTATTATTATGCAGTCACGATCTCATCCTTTATCGTTGCTTTTTCTTTTCGGTCTAGTCGCACAAACTCCTGATAGGTTGATTTATGACGTCTCTTCAGTAATTTTTGCCACAAAACGACAATAAGGTGCTAGCACACTGTATATGTGATATAATAATCAAGAATGGTAAAAAGAAAATTAAAAATAAACTCTGAGTAGTTTTATCGTTTCGTTCGTTCTTAATTAATCATCCAAATTTCTGCTTATACATGGGCTTTATGAACGGTATTTTGTCCCGTACCCCTCACCCTGTTGACAATGTGCTAGCGAACAAAGGAAGCTATAATTATCTACAGGGTGTCCCAAAATAGACATCAAGACGAATATTTGACCATAAGAGGACATCAAGACGAATATTTTGAAAAAAAGTGGAATTGGTTGCGAAGTTTTAAATATATTTAACACAATAGATTTTCAGAAAAAGTTGAATATCCCCGAAACTACTGTTGCGATTGAGCCCATCTTCAGTACGAACCTTTGTTATCAAAGGAAGAAGATTCTGTCCAAATTTTAAGTTGAGATCTCGATTTTCGCACACGTCAGCGCGCGTACAAGGATTTAAATGAAAAAACAGAAAGGGGGAAATATCTCAAAAACTTTGTATGGACGGGTATATATTAAAAATCGATGAAAAAAAGAAGTACCATGGGCGTAATGAAGAAGCTCGGGAACAATGGGAGCACACGTTCGGGAATGTTTATCATTCATTCTGTTTCATAGTGCATCAAATAGCGTAGAGGAAAAAAAATCAATATGAGGTATAAAAATTTTTTATTTTGTTCTCGCTTAAAATCGGGGTTGAAGGATGCTAATTATTAAAATTCATAGTGGCTGTAGTGATCACGCGGGGAGTGTGTGACTCCGGCGGTCATCCAAGCTAAGCAGCGTTCAGTCTGCCCAGTACTTGGATGGGTGTCCGCTTGGGCACACCTAACCGCGTGGGACTACAGTCGCTAAGCACGAATGTAGAGAACTACTGTGCCCATTGAGTCAGTGTGACCAATAGACACAGTGGAATCCCTGCATTATCGGCCGGCTGCACGACTGAGGTTTTTCATGGTTTCCCTGGCAGTCCAATCCCGAATGGGGTGCAGTTGGGGATAAAGTAAGTCGGCCCATGGTAACGCAGATAGGGAAGGGAACAAAATGTAAAAACCCGAGAGGGGGGTATACATATGGAACCAAAATATATATATTATTCTTAGTTTTGAGGCTTTCGCGGCCATTATTAATGACTTGGTTGGCTTCCGGATGGATGCCGCGTTGAGTTTCAGCATTGCGCTGACGTTTCGCAAACATTGCAGTCTGCATCTTCAGGGCTATGAGCTCCGATTCTGAGCTCCGATGTGTGGGGGCAGTCCTTATATACCTTCCCTTGTGGTGGTGGGGGAAGGGGAAGGGGAGGGGGGAGCGCCAACTTACCAGCTGGCCAAGTTTCTCACGAAACCACTCCAAAAGTTGACTGGCCTGAACGGTTCATACATTCAGAACTCACTAGATTTCGTCAACAAACTTAGAAATCTTCGGACTTCTCCAGATGATATCTTAGTTAGTTTCGATGTAGAATCACTCTTCACTAACGTCCCAATCTCAAAAACCTTGGAAATCATCAAGAATTCCAATAACATTTATTCCCAATTCCTTCCCTTAATTGAGCACTGCCTGACTTCTACATACTTTCAGTTCGAAGGAGAATTCTATGAGCAAAAATCAGGAGCAGCAATGGGTTCTCCCATCTCCCCGATTATTGCAAATATATTCATGGAACACTTTGAGAACGAAGTATTGAAGTCAGCACCTCAGAAACCTTCTGTGTGGTTCAGATATGTGGACGATACCTTTGTCATCTGGCCACATGGAAAGACTGGTCTAACCCAATTCCTGGAGTTCTTGAACAATCAGCACACGAGCATCAAGTTCACCATGGAAATTGAGCAGGACAGATGTCTTCCTTTTCTGGATGTTCTGGTTCGGCGCAACGAGGATGGCACTCTGGGCCACCAAGTATATCGCAAGCCAACACACACAGGCAGGTATCTCAATGCTACCTCCCATCACCACCCCTCCCAGAAACACTCCGTTATCAGCTCTCTCATGTATAGAGCACTTACAATTTCTCAACCCTCAAACGTTGACAGTGAAGTTGAACATCTTGAGACAGCTCTGACCACGAATGGGTATAACATCCAACAAATTCGAAAGGTCAAGCAAAAGCTACAGAGCAAGCTCTCATCTCTCCAAGAGGAGACTGTTCCTGAGGAAAACCAGGAAAGACCTAAAATGGCCCTCCTCCCCTATCTGAGAGGCACAACAGAACGCATCAGCAGAGTACTCGGTAAACATAACATCCGAACGATCTTCCAACCCCCAAAGAAGATCGGACAGATGCTGCCGAGCGCGAAGGATCCAAGACCAGCCTTGAGTACACCAGGAGTGTACGAGATCCCTTGCTCATGCGGGAAAGTGTACATTGGAGAAACCGGGAGGAAGATCAGTACACGGATCAAAGAACACCAGCGGTGCTCCAAATACGGTCACTTAGAACAGTCTGCCCTGGCTGAACATTGGATGGATACTGGACATACTATCTACTACGACCAAGCCAAAATGCTGGCCAAGTCTCAAGGGTATTTCGAAAGGAAATACCGAGAGGGTTTGGAGATCCATAAAAACCCTAACAACCTCAACAGGGACAGAGGATATCAAGTGAACCCCATTTGGAAAACCGTCCTCCCGGTTTTTTAATTGACCAGCTGATCAATTAAAAACATATGATTGGCTGACCCCCCCCCCTTCCCCTTCTCCCACCACCACAAGGGAAGGTATATAAGGACTGCCCCCACACATCGGAGCTCAGAATCGGAGCTCATAGCCCTGAAGATGCAGACTGCAATGTTTGCGAAACGTCGGCGCAATGCTGAAACTCAACGCGGCATCCATCCGGAAGCCAACCAAGTTATATATATTATTAAAATTCATTTTTTAATCAATGAGAAAAATTGCTTGAGGAGTGAAGCTCATATTAAAAAGCGGCACATTGCCGATGGCGCGTAGTTTGTAAGTGAACGAATAATTTTTTAATATTTTCCGGTCGATTATGTGCCTAAATGAAATTTGGAGATTGGGTAACTTTTTTTCTTCATCATTCGGATCACTCTATCAATATCTGTGAAACTAGTCGGCCTAGGGGAAAATGTCGAGAGGATTTATTGTAGGAAATTTCTACGATCCACAAAGAAATTCTTTTGACATCTCATTCTCAATCGACTAGTGTCAGATGAAATTGTGAAATAGGGTGACCAGGCCAATTGCTGGACGATTAAAGGAAATTCGAGTTTCATGGTAGGATCTAAAATAAAAGAATCATCTAAATGGGGATTATATGATGGCTTCCATACCTTCAAGAATGTTTTAATTAGCCGAAAAAAATTGTTTAAAGCGAAAATAACAAACCAAAGAATAATTAAATTGAGAAATAGTTGAATGTAGCCGAAACCCCCAATTTCTGGACGACTGGATCATATTTTTTTTAATTTATTAAATTTTTATCAATAGAAGAAAATAATTGATCACATGATTATACACAAGTGATATTATGGAGAGGTGAAATAATCAATACAATTTTCATTTCATTTGTGGAATATTCAATGCAAGTTGAAATCGTCCAGAAACTAACCCCTGTCCGGAAATATGACCTGTTTACCCTACCTGGCAGATATAACTTTAGCTAACTGGGGGATTCAGAATTATTTCATAAATACTTATGAAATTTTTAGATTTATTGAGTAAAGTGAAAAGACAGTTTTTGGTCAGAAAATGTAAAAAAAAATTTTTTGACACTTTTCTCAACATTATTGAGCATCCAGATAATATTACAACTAACGATTCAGTTTTTTAAATTTTTGTTAATTATGTAATTATCTCGGTGATGAGTGGGTCAAAATTTAGATTGATTACTTACGTTCTGCAGAGCGTAATTATTGTGATTATGTGTCGACTCGATTTAATGACTCAATTGAATGAAAAAGTCGATGGCTTTTCCACTGAGAACTGCAGCTTTCCTCCTAATTTCACTTAGAAATCCCCCCAATAATTGTATAATTTCTTCTCGTGCTCCCCTATTTTTTCAATAATTACCCTTGATTTTTCGAGATTCGTAATCCGCATACCTAATTTAATCGATTTATCATTTTTAAAATCGATTTTCGTCTGAGGAGGTCTTTCTTAACATTTACCTATTAATTGTTGGTCATTGGATTATCATTTTATCAATTTGAATGGTTTTCTTTTTTACTCCCATGACGTATACGTTTTTGAGAAAAGCATCACTTCATTTTCCGACGCTTCGAAATGAGGCAACTCAATCAGAAATGCGTTGGAAATGTGAATATTTGAGCTAAAGATAAATAAAAAGAACTTACGAAGGCTTTTACAAAGCCTGATTCATCAATTCAATATATTTTAATAAATTTTCATGGAATAGTTGAACTGAAAGATAGTTCCCACTAATTTTTTAAAGGTACTTCCATAGTAATTATAGGAGAATAGAAGGAAATGGGCTACAGAGCTGAAATTTCGAGAATGAATTATTTCAGTAATTTGGAAATTTGTCCCGAAAGGCCCAACACGATTGTCCATATCGGTTTGTGTGGAGGAAAGAATTGAAATTGTCATTTGTATATAGCCGTATGAGACACTTCAACAAGGAATGACGAGCATGGACAATGGATTGAGAATCCAAATACTTGACTCATCGTATCGTACATGTTTCCTAAATACATTACTGCAATTTCATTTTTCATGACCACAGGAATCATGAGTTATTATTAAAAATAGGAGAAGAAAATGAAGTTAAAGTGTACAATCTTCATCCCCACTCCCATGTTTTTTGGGCTTACTGCGGAAGTTCCTTAACGAATTTCAAGCCGAAAAATCGACTTGAATCATTCAATTATGTAGAAATGACGATGCAGGGCAAATGCAGTAGAGCGATAAGGATTTCTAGTGTGCCCCTACGGATTTGATTGAAAAATCACCACATAGAACATTTTTTCTTTGGATTCATTCTGGATCCTACGGGACATTTAAAATCTTCAGCGAATTCTGGCATATTGGACAGCACTCCCAATATACGGAATTCTTCAGGAATGTGGGGGTCAACTTTAACTAACTGCTTAAGATATTCAATTCCGTGCTTCTCGCACCAAGTGCTAGCCGCACTTATCCAGATCATTTGTCTTGGGGTGTAGGGAAGTCTGGGGAGCATTGGCTCTCGGCCATTACGGGCTGACCAATCCTTGTAAGTTAAGTAGGCTAGCTTCATTCCTCCGTTGTCTGCAATGTTCTCTCCTTGAGTATTTATTCCATTCAACTGCAAATTGAAAATGAGAAAAAACGTGAATAAATATCCCTCTGTTACACTCTTAGAAAATTACTCTTGAAATTTCAAGTGAAAACGCTTGAAATTTTCAACAACGACAAAGTTACATGAAATTTCTGTAGAATTCTCCATTGACGAATCAGTTAATTTCTTGAATATTCAAGTAGCTCTCGGTTTTCAGGTCCATAGGGCACTGAAAAACCTTGAAAATTTTGAAAAGTTAGACAAAAACTTCTCTGAATTTTTAATCTACTGAATATTGAATTGTATGCGATGTTCAATTTTCACAATGAGTTTGGAAATTCAAGCTTTCATTGAAAAATCAATGATCGTTTAACATGAAAAACACAATTTTCTTGAATTTTTAAGACGAATGAGAAATTTAGTGAACGTTTTCATTTGAAATTGAATTCAAACTCACAACATTGAAAATTCAGATGACGCTGTCAATTTGCCGGATTCTTTTACTTACGTTCAACCCAACTTCTTCGACTGAGTAATTTCCATATTGATCGATAAAACATTGTGCCTTAGCGAGGTATTTTTCTTTAGTGGAAGGCGCCCACCAGTCGACAAGATTTCCTTCTTTATCGAACTGTCGTCCCATATCATCAAATGCATGGGTCATCTCGTGACCAATGAGAAAGCCAATGGCACCATAGTTCACATACCTTGGACGATCGTTGTTGAAGAAAGCACCCTGGAGAATACCAGCCGGAAGGTCTGAAAATATTTAAAATAAACATCGGTCAAAAGTCGTATTACACCGGGAAGTTAAAAGCAACTTTGCTTCCGCTCTAAGAATTATTTATATTTTCTTCGAATCGTTCAGAAGGCAATAAATATTACACTAAAGAAAAGTTTCTCGTCGAGGGTTTCACATGTCACAAAAACTATTGGTTTTGAGTGTTGACGTATGAACGAGAGTTTTAACATATTGAATTCAAATTTTGACATAAGCTTTGTGACATGTACGTTTTTAAAAGAATCTAAAATTGAAATTAATAGACAATTCTAGTGCATTCGTTGAAAAGTTTATGTTTATTCCCAATCATATCAGCTTGAAATCAATTACTCACATATACTATTTCTATCCGGACTATAGAAAGCATTAACAGTGGTCGGGTTTGCTTCTGTCCTCCAATCGCTCTTATTAACCGGTTTCCTCAATTTACTGAATGAATACTTAGTTTTGAATAACGTAAGATTCAGAATATTCTGGAGGTAATTCTCATCGCTGAGCTCCAAATCGTGATAGAACTCTTCGAGTTTTCTCTCATCGAGAAGCACATCAGGATAGGCAATATGGCTGGTCATGGAAGTAGCCTTCTCCAGCGCACTCTTCCTCGTTTCGTCGTCCATCCAGTCAAGATTCTGCAGGATTTGATTAAACTGCTTCCGCATGTCATCAACCATCTCAATGGTATTCTTTTTAGCATCCTTATTGAAGTACTTCCGAACGTACTGAACATCGACGCTTCTGGAGAGATGTTTTAAGACGATATTAACGCACTCTTTCCATCTGGATTCCCTTTGTGTCTCACTGGCGGGAATCAAATATTTGAGTGATGCTGTTACCGCCCTCCACATCATGTAGTTGGCTTGAATTCGTTTAGGAATTTCATTCATGAGTTTCTCGAGATTTGTGATAAAGCTGGGGACTACGACGATAACGATTTCGCTGTCGTCCACTCGGATGGAGGGTGGAAGCAGGCGGTTGAAGTACTCCTTCCAGGGGATGCTGGGGTACGTCTGGGAGAGCTGGGCGATTGTCATAGGATTGTAGAGAAGCGTCAAATTACGCCGTTTCTCTTCGGGTAGAGAAATCTGGAAAAGCGAATTATGGAGACTACAGAAGTAATTTAAAAAAAGACTTACGTTAGCTAATTCCATTTCAAATTTGAGAGACTGGAGCAGTTCCTTCTCAGCGAATTCTTCTTTGGCACCAAGTACCACTGCTACATTCACCATGTAACTGTAATACTCTATTGTTTTGTTTAAATCTTCGGTTAAGTATTCACGTGATAGCTTCAGGGATGCTTGATCCAACTGAAAATTAATTTTTTTTAAATCAGAATTTGGTTTGTCATGGCTCAAAGGACAAATCTGATCAAAACCTAGTTTAAAAAAAAATTATTGAAATTCCCCTGGATTTGTATTGTAAATCTATACCTAATTCTTGTATTTTTTTCACGCGGGTTTTATGAACAAATTCCCTCCATCTCATCTAACTGTTGAAATGATCTTTCTGTTTTTCGTTCCTATATTAACAATAATTACATACATAAAGAACATGCTTCGTAGTATTCTTGAAGTCCACTTCGATACTAATTTTGAAGAAGTAATTGACAAAATATCCCAGGTCGCTGAGATTGTAAACCGATTGAGTCCAGTTAAAAGTCTCTTCGTTCCACTGGTCTCCCTCTAGAACCGGCCATCCTCCAAGTTTCTGCAAGATACTGAGAAGTGGCTTGAAATCTTGAGCTTCAATTGCAGCTGAAAATCATCACAGATATATCAGTTTCCTTGTAATAGTGGAAGATTTAACAAAATGTCTTAACGTCCATTTTTTACGAGGAAAGGTACTAGTAAACTAACCTTTGAAATAATAATTATTAATGAGTGAAATAAATTATCTGAGAAATCTGGAGGAGTTTTATGGTTGCTTTTACTATTTAGCTCATTATTAACACTCCGTTGGTCGCACTATGAGCGCCGCACCGCACTTTTTCCAATTTTTTAAATTACTGCAGTAAAGCCTGCAGAAAAAATTTGAAAAATTTCTCCTACGATTACTTATTACTCAAATAATTAAATTTTCAATTAGACAACTCAATCGATTTGCCCTGTTATGTTTTACCAAATATGCTTTTGAAATATCAAAAATTATTTGTCTGATTTATCTGGATATGGCTTTCGCACTTTCATTCATGCAGGATTTGTACAACTTCTTTGCAAGTTTGTATGCTTTAGGTTCCATGGGGAGACTCGGCTCCTCGAGGACTAGCCGCAACTGCTTCTGAATTTCTATCTCGATTTCTTCGAAGGCACCCATCGTTCTTCTATCAGGTGGGATGAGTGTATTGTTCAGATAGTTACCGCAGGCGAACCTGTAAAAGTTGTCGCAAGGTTTCACTTTTCTGTCCATTTTTGTGATGATCATGGAAGCTGCAAAATAAGGAAAAATCCATAGCATCAGAATATAGTCGGATCTCCTGGAACAGAATTGTCGAGAATGCAGAAATCTACAGAAATTTGTCATCAGAAGAATCAGACGAGAATTACATGGGAGTAGTATGGTTTGTACAATAAAAACTTTTACATTAGATGTAAAATACGCGTTATTTTTTCATGTTAAAACCTTCTTGATTTCTTGAACTTTTTGGTTCTGTATGGGTGATGACGTTGTCTGCCACTGACTTCACAGCGGGGACGTTTTTGCAGAGATGGAAAAACATATATTGTCTCGTCAACAGAGACACTCTCATCATTCAGTTGAGAATAGAATTCCTCGATTGGAGCAGGCAATTGAGGGGCATTGAGTTTCTCGCAAGGGTCAACGTACTCATGTGGAAAAACTCCCTTTCTTGTTGAAAGATGGAATTTCTCTACAGTACTTTTGAGTTATAAATTATCTTGATCACTGAGATAAGGTGCCAGTTTTTCCAAACCACTAATACGTGTTTAGTAGTATGGTAAAGGCGCTTCTTATCGTCAATTTCCCCTCATACAGTAATTTTCTCGTTATCAAGCAGAATAAAAAATAATTGTCGATTGTCCCACGATGACAGCGAATACCATAATTCTATTTATTTAACTGTTGATGTGGGGAATAATCCGCAGAATACCCCTCGAATTTCAAAATGAATCGAAGTATTTTCCTCAAACTTGCCTGCATACGAAAACGAATGCGTCAATTTTCTCAGGAAAAATCCCCTTTAACCTGCGAAACTGGACATCTTCGTTTGTATGCAACAAAGTTATCGAGAAATACCCGATAATTGTGAAGCTTTTCAAGGTATAACCGAAACTTCTACTTGAATCATACCGAAGGATTGGCTTAAATCAAGCCGGAAAATCTGCTTGAATCAAGACAAACCCGACTTGAAGCAGACCAATGTGGCGATATTTGTATCTCTCCTTGTGAGAGTTGATTGATGTCGTCGATAAAGTCGCGAAATTGAATGTGAATTTCCCCGTTTCAATCTTGGAAATTCTACTGGATTGACTACATTCATCAATGAACTTACCCGTATCATTACAAACTTTAGTCGTGCAGACCCTATGAGGTTCTTCGGTAAATGGCGGGAGTGACTTGGCAGGTTGAATTGTAGGGAGTGCTTCAGCTGCGAAAAATTTGAAATAAAACTTGAATTAGTATATTGTGCACCAAGAAAATCGAAAAGTCGATGTCAATAATTATTCGCCTGATTTTGATGGAAGTTTTTTTCGCACCATCGTTCATACAGACCAATTTCGTGTTCGTTTGAGCGAATGAATGAATATTTGTTGTAACTGAAGGTTCAAATGAAGACTAAAACGGGGAAGGGTTAAACAGAAGAGGCAAAACGGATGAGTGTAATCCTTTAATAATTTCATTTTTTTCTTCATCCGCGAATATTTGTTATGAATATATTTTCATATAAATCTCGCCTGTTAATCCTCGATTATCGATCTAACAAAAATATGGAACTCATTATGAATAATTGGTGCTTTTTGTTTTTTTTTCTTAAAAACAATCCACCAAGAATAAAGCTTAAGAACAGGAGTTTCTAAAATCTAGAAACTAGTTTCTAAAGCTAATCCACTTTCTTTATCTATATCGATATGTCCTATTTCTATTAAAAATATTTTTTTTAATTGGCACCCTGTGAAACAGCGCGAAATACTTCATCTATAGTGGCAGAAACATGAACATAAGTAATTGGAAAGGGGGTGCCCTAAGGGCCACTTGTCGCAAATTGCGGACACTTTGTTATTTAATTTTGAATGTTTGTAATTGGACGATCACAACCTTTTTTTCTGACTGGAGGAATAGAAAATTCTCTATGCTCTAATGATTACTCTTCTTTGTTTACTCTTCCTCGGTAAATTTTTGAATCTATTCATAAAGAACAAGATAGTGGGAGTTACTAAAACATTGACGATGTGCATTCTTGTCTATTTTTACAATCATTCTTCATTTGAAATATCAACTTATATAAGGTAGAAAGCATTGAAGATCTTACCATTGGCCCCTTCATCGTTGCAGACGTTTAGGGTTAATGAGCAAAAAATAAATCCGATGATACCGATGCGTACCATAATTTTAAATCAATCAATCAATAATTTTTAATCATTAATGAATTCAATTTTAATTATAGTTAGTTTGAGCCAAAATTTGTTAAATAGACTGAGTCACTATAACTGCATTAAAGAGTGTTTACAACGATCTGTGGACTGAGTACGAATACTGCAAACGTTCATGAAAATTTAACGCTGTATATACTCAAGAAAAGCGCATTCTGTTTGCAACGATAACAATGTGATAGTGTAATAGAGATTAAACACGGATCTGTTGTTTTGGAATCCCTGATCCGATCAGAGTACGTGCTGCTCTGCTCTTTTGTCATTTCTGCAGCCGTCAGGATAACAAATATTGTTCTTAACACAGCCCAAAAAAAAATATTTTAGCTCTCATATAATTGCAAAAGTTTTTTTGGCCTAATGACGAAATGTACTACTTTGAATTCCAAGTTTCGTATATTTCGAATGATTTGCCTGCCTAGGATTTCAACGATTTGGCATAATTTCATGTGATTTCTTATCCGATTTTAGTCCGGAGTCCCGATAAATACTAAAAATATTGCTCGTTAATTGATAATTGATTCTCGAACATTGGAGATTTCAAAAATTTTGTAATTGTTAATGACGTCACAATAGTAGTCGAACGCTGGACCAATTACAGAATGTCGGCGGGAAGAAATAAAAAAATCATTTTTTCAACGTCTCGGGAAAATTTAAAATCGATATATCTTCTCCAATAATGAAAGAATACCCATCGATCCGATTTCTATCCTTGTCTTTCGATAGAATGAATTGAATAACGGAGAAAAATTAAGAATTAAAATTCGAATACCACAAACGAATTGTCATGAATTCAGAAATTTGTTTTTCGTATCAATTTAATGCTTAGTATCAATGCTTTATACAGTAGAGGCTTCGTTTAAGATACCCCTGTATACGATACCTCACGCTCCGAGCGCTCGAGACCTACCCCCACTCTTGGCACTTTTATCCTCTCTCGAATGTTTGTTCCGTGGGCTTCATATAAGATACCTATGGCCCCGGTGATTTTTCAACGGCAAGAGAGTAGTTATAAGGATCAAACGGTGTTAAGGGTCAAACGGGAGGGGCGAACGAAGTGATCGTGAGGGTCTAATTACCTTAAGGGGGGGTCACACCACTTTTTTCAAGTAATGGAAAGATACATCTATTTTTTTTTCACTTTTCCCATCGAAAAAAAACCAACAATCCCCCAACATCAGCTGCCATTCTATCACGTGGGCTTATGTTTAGAGAGAAAAGGGAACGCAGGCGATGAAAATTCAAAACATTAAACACATATAAATTGATTAGTTATCGATATTCATTCAGTAAAAATGAAAATTTCATTGAATTCGAGCGCAACGAGCGAGGTATCTTATTTGAAACCCGCTGATTCCTATTCTTCTCCTCTCTATGGGCGCGCGTAGTGGGGGCACAGGGGCTCCCGGAATTCCACTCTCTTACTGTCCCTAAGGTATCTTATACGAAGCCTCTACTGTATTGATTAGTTCAATGCTTTAGTATCAATTCAATGCTCTTTATTAATTACTCTCTCCCTCAAATACAATCGTGTACAAACATCAGTAATAGGTACATCAGAGACTGGTGGAATGCCTCCAGGTATGTGCTCACTCTGTACGAGAGAGTACTGATCCTTTATAGTTCTAATGTCATCGATATCCGGGGTCATTAGCATGTTGATGCCGGGGTAAATGATGAAGGCGAAAATTGCTATTGCAGTCAGTGCCCAGATGGGAATAGCCACTGCCCAGTATTTTAGTGGCCAATATGTTAGGCCCAGTTTCTCGTGGAGGAAATTCTCGGCGACCACTACCCACACTAGGTACAGGAAGAATAACATGTTCGAGCCGATGTACAATGCATAGCCGTAGACAGAACGAGGTCTGTAGGGTGCTGGTGTGTGCTCAGACATCCTTTGATGTCTCATGAACTCGATAATTAATTATTGTCGGGCATTTCATCAATTGTTATTCATTATTCATCAGTGGTAGTGGCTGTAGACGGGCTCTGGAGGTCCGAATTCACTCATCGTCTGAGTTACCAGCGTTAAACTGTCGAAGAATGACGCGAGACCTACTCGGACTTTTCGTGCCTCTTCTCCGGTGAATTTTCTGTAACAATTGATGGCATACTCAACATCGATACGGTATTGTCTCGACAAAGCGATTTATTACAGACAATGGAGTCTATTTACATGAAATACATATTGAATTCTACTAATGGATTGAATGAATAATGAGTGGAATTGGATCAAATCTACTGTTCCACCTTCAGTTGGCGGTTGTAAAAACAAACAAACACATTGTCAGAAGACTGTGTTGTAGGAGTTGTGAGGTAAAGCAAAAAGGGGTAAAATGGACACGTCGATTTCTTCCTCAATTTTTTATGTCTCAACAATATTATTGAATTTCTGAACACTAGTTCCGACTGTAATTTTGAAATTGAAAAAAAAATCGTTTTTGACTTTTGTTGTGGGGGGCGGTAAACCAATTTTTTTTGCTCATTTATCCTCCCCTCTCCCCATTAGTTTATCATTTCCTTGGTGAGTAGAAAAGTAGACATCTTACGGATTTCGCTAATGGACAAAAGGTCAGTTGTGTAGGGCGTGAAATGATGGTTTTTTGTAGTTACATGACTCTGTTACTAAGCTGTCGATATGGAGAGAAAACAATAACTTTGATTTTCATCTCGAGTAATGAATGATTATTCAATTATTGAAAAACCTGAACTCAGAAACAAAATCAATGATTTAACGGAATTTCTTATTCATGTACTCTTGATACGAAGAGAGCTCTTCAGGGCTTTGAGCTCGAAGATTTTTGCCTTGTGCATAAAATGCACGATCCAGTCAATAGCGCCACGATTCACTTAACTTTAACCGAGATCTAACCGTGGTTTCCTAATCCAAACACTGGCCCTCAGCACTAAAGCGCCAATTGTTCGTGAACGCGCGCAACCGCGCGCGTTGTAGATCTGAGAATATTATTATAGGAGTGTGAGAATATTATGGGAGAGAAGAAATATCGATGTGTATTTTAATGAATAAAGAGCAGAAAATTGTGTTAAAATTAAGAATTGAAGTGTGTTAAAATTAAGAGGTTTTTATTATTAATACTGCAGTGCCATTTCGATCAACAGGATTTTCTGGTTGTGGGGGTCGCAGGGGGCCAAGGAGTTGGAAAATCAACTATTTTATCTTTGCTGACGTCTAATTATGGGTAAGATTATCTAACGTGTAAATAATCATCCAGAATGTATGGGAATTATGTGAATGTGATATTTTTTCTTGCAGATCTGACATCTTTGCAGCGCAAAGTCAGTCTCACCATGAAAGTGGCTCGAATTGCATCTCTGGAATAGATTTTTACGTGACTAAAAATCGAGTCATATATTTAGACACTCAGCCCATTCTCTCTTGTGCTGTCATGGATGCAACTGCTTCTTCTTTCGAGCAGAAGAAAAACTACTGATTTCGGTAGTACTGAGTACAACCTGGAACTTCAGTCTCTTCAATTCATGGCATTTTTGTACTCTGTGTGCCATGTCATTATTTTTGTACAAGATTGGTTCGTGGACCCAAATTTAGTGAGGTAAATGCCTTGAATTTTATCATAATTTCAATTTTTTTATTGAAAATTGAGGAAAATTTTGTGGAATAGATTTCTCCAGACTGCCGAGATGCTGAAGCTCCGGTCAACGTCGAATGTAGACCAGGATTACGTTGAATATTATCCGCATATTTTATTTTTTCATAATAAGGCAGAGTTATGTGATTTCCAGCCTAAAGAAGAGAGATGAAGTATATGTACCCAAGAAGGTAAAAATTCTGATGCCAGAACAGGTGGCCGAATCCTTGTCAACAGCACCTGATTATGATCATCTCCTCACAAAGGTAATTATCCTCAATAAATCTGTAGCGAAGTAGTCAATGAGGTTGAGTTGATTTCAATTCTCGATTATTTGTCGATCAATATCTCCAAAACTGAGGGGAATAATAAAATTGTTATGGATACCTTTTTTGCCCATAAAATCAGGATCTACAAAAAAGGTTCTAACAAGAATTTCGCTATTTCACTTAGTTTCCGAGATATTGATCGATAAATAACCGAAAAACAAAATCAACATAACCTCCTTGACCACTTCGCTACAGAAATGCATATAGGGGAACCAATGCGATTAAGCTGTCGTGTTGAATTTGAAATAAATAATCATGACGGTCTTCATTTTATTTCAGGTTATTGTGGTTATTGGACTGTTAGGCACCCTCAGGAAGCAAGATCTCTGGAATTTGGAGGATAAAGATGTTCAGGACGATCCACAAAAACGTGAATTGTTATTTTCCTTGGAGACAACTAAAAATTGTCAACCCAAGGATTTTCTTGTGGATGCTGAGTATTCCCTACTGGTAAAGAAATATATGACATTACAAGGGTGAAACATCACAACGCCCAACTTTTTCATTCCGTAGTATCACAAAGGGAAATTTTCAAATTAGAACGTTGGTGAACACAGATTTGCTCACATGCCTTGAGAAATCGCCAAATATCTAGAGTTGCATACACTCTCTGATTACACAGGACATTGCTTCCGCCGTTCTTCAGCCTCAATGTTGGCTGATGCAGGTGCAAGTATGACTTTAATTCAACTTGCAGGAGGGTGGCAGTCACCTGCAGTTGCTCGAGGATACATACAGAAATCCAAGAGAACCAAGAGAATAATCAGTCAAAAGATAAGAGAGTCTTCAATTTCGATAATGCCTCGGCATTTTTGCAGCCGCAGATCGACCCTGGATCACAAATTCAGCAGCATTAATTCCACAATAACCTCCCATGTAAAACACAAAACATCAGGAACGAGACAATCACGAGAGAGTCCATAAACGAAATGACTCAAAATAAAGAAAATTAATTGCCTAATCTTCAACATTTCATTTTTGAATTATAATGAGAATACACCAGCAGTCCAAATTCTTCAGAATTACACATCAAGAATTGGAGAGAAAATTAACAACAATTTCCCGTTGAAAACATCCAACTCGAGAAGCGAGACAATCAGAGGCGAGTTTAATGACGATATAACTAACAACAACAATGATAATTATAATACAACGATCAATGAGCAGAATACGCAAGCAATAATTACCAAAGACATTCAAGGTATTACGATCAATAATTATGGGACAGTGTATATTTACAATCATAGAGGAAAATAATAAATATGATGACTGAACAAACAAACATTGCCAAAAAACATCGAGCTTTTCAAAAGATATAATCGATGTTTTATTCAAGTTTCCTAAAGACTTTAACTGTAAGAAACAAACATGAGAGTTCTTATTCATAGAAGAACAAAACAGAAATGTATACTTATGTAGAACTTCATTAAATATAATTTCAGTGCATTTTTGTTCTTCTATTATCTTCTGAACATTGTATTGAGGAAAAAATTCAAGCGCCCCACGTCCGGAAAAATAGTATGTAAGCCACGCCGAGAAAAGTGCCGTTTTAAGGGACGACGTGTTAGCACGTCACATCACGCCGTCCCTTAACGGCACTTTTCTCAGCTAGGCGCACAATATATACTATTTAATAATTAGCATCCTTCAACCACGATTTTAAGCGAGAACAAAATAAAAAAAATTTATACCTCATATTAATTTTTTTTCCTCTACGCTATTTGATGCACTATGAAACAGAATGAATCATAAACATTCCCGAACGTGTGCCCCTATTGTTCCCGAGCTTCTTCATTACGCCCATGGTACTTCTTTTTTTCATCGATTTTTAATATATACCCGTCTATACAAAGTTTTTGAGATATTTCCCCCTTTCTGTATTTTCATTTAAATCCTTGTACGCGCGCTAATGTGTGCAAAAATCGAGATATCAATTTAAAATTTGGACAAAGGTTCGTATGGAAGATGGGCTCGATCGCAACAGTAGTTTCGGGGATATTCAACTTTTTCTGAAAATCTATTGCGTTNTCATATTGTCGCCAGTATATTCAACTTTTTCTGAAAATCTATTGTGTTGAATATATTTGAAACTTCGCAACCAATTCCACTTTTTTTTCAAAATATTCGTCTTGATGTCCTCTTATGGTCAAATATTCGTCTTGATGTCTATTTTGGGACACCCTGTAGATAATTATAGCTTCCTTTGTTCGCTAGCACATTGTCAACAGGGCCAGGGGTACGGGACAAAATACCGTTCATAAAGCCCATGTATAACACGGTCCAACAAATTTGGGACGTATCAAGGGCCAAGAATGAAACCTGCACCCCTAGATAGCTTTTTTAATTCCGATTCCAACCGCGCAAACCGGGAGGCGCTACCTCGTCGGGGTCGGGAGCAAAAAAATCCCAAATTGGCGAAAAATGTGGAAATTGAGAATTTTCAAAAAAAAATTACGGATGAAAAATCCTACCAATTTCAATGAAAAAAAAACTACAAATGCTTCAAAGATTAGTCCCTTTGATGATTCAGTTCTTTTTGATATAATTCGAGAAACTTCTACTAGAAAAAATATAAAATTTAACACAATTTTTTATTTTATTGACGGAGGAGAAGCGGCGTGAACTTGGCGGCTGATATGTCATTAAATTCAAACCTATCATACCACGTGTCTCAATAAACCTTGTGGAAACAAATCTAATTGATGGGAATTTCTGCTTATGAATGTTTAAATGATGTTCAACAGAATAAACGGTGGGTCTCTCTCAGTACTTATTATTAATTATTATTAATTATTATTGTTCCGAATTTTTCAATTCTCCTGGCGAAAATCGTTCAATAGAGAAAACAGCCAAGAGGGAAGAATTTTGACGTTTCGTTCGCTAGATAAACTTGTGACTTGTGAAATTAATTCACTAGTAACGATATGTATACAGAAAGTCCTGGAGAGATGTTTATTGATGATAACTGCCAAAGAAACACTGTATTTTCCATGACCAGAATGAATATTTTCCTAGTACTGAGAGAGACCCACCGTTTATTCTGCTGAACATCATTTAAACATTCATAAGCAGAAATTTCCATCAATTAGATTTGTTTCCACAAGGTTATTTTGAGACATGTGGTATGATAGGTTTGAATTTAATGACATATCAGCCACCAAGTTCACACCGCTTCTCCTCCGTCAATAAAATCAAAAATTGTGTTAAATTTTATATTCTTTCTCTCAGAAGTTTATCGAATTATATAAAAATGAACTGAATCATCAAAGGGACCAATCTTTGAAGCATTTGCAGTTTTTTTTTTCATTGAAATTGGTAGGATTTTTCATCCATAATTTTCTTTGAAAATTCTCAATTTCTACATTTTTTACCAATTTGGGATTTTTTTCCTCCCGACCCCGACGAGGTGGCACCTTCCGGTTTGCGCGGTTGGAATCGGAATTGAAAAATAAGCTATCTATTAGGGGTGCAGGTTTTATTCTTGGCCCTTGACACGTCCCAAATTTGTTGGACCGTGTAAGCAGAAATTTGGATGATTAATTAAAAACGAACGAAACGATAAAACTACTCAGAGTTTTTTTACAATTTTCTTTTTACCATTCTTGATTATTATATCACATATACAGTGTGCTAGCACTTTGTCGTTTTGTGGCAAAAATTACGGAAGAGACGCCATAAATCAACCTATCAGGAGTTTGTGCAACTAGACCGAAAAGAAAAAGCAACGATAAAGGATGAGATTGTGACTGCATAATAATAAAATTCAAGAATCTTTGTGACCATAAAGAACTCCTAGTTTTTAACGCATTTCTGCATCGTCTCAATAATAAAATTTATCTGCCGCTATATTTATACTGCTGTTCTGTATCGATCAACTTTTTGTTACACCTCTATTATTTTTATCTTACATATTACAGACTTGATTTTGAAAGCATTTTTCTAAAACCCTCTGAATTTCTATTTTTGTCATTCTGCACTCGGGAATTTCTTCATTATCTACGGGTGATAATATTAACGGTCGGTAACACCTCTGCACGAGATAAAACAATATCGGCATTCATTTTCGGACGAATCGACGTTCGTCTGTAAATGGCGAAAGAATAATCGAATTTATTGTGTACGTAGGTGTAGTTATTATAATAGCCTCAAATATAGAAACTATGATCATAGGATTCAGAAGGCATCAACGATATCTGAAAGAAGGAGAAGGGTTACCTTTGCTGATGATAAATATAATTTACTAATACTCATTATAAAAATTCATTCTCGAGGAACCCGTCTAAAATGTATCGCTGGAATATTAATTGTCATGCATACGCTGCGCTAATAAATATTCGCATAACATACTTATCTACCGGCGACAGATTAATCATTAAAAACGATTTTCAATTCGTGCAATGGCTCTAACGAAAACGTTACCTATTGATTGAACATGCTATATATTCGGTTAAGAAAATATTTACATATCTGTTGAATTCGTTCTAACGTCCAATCAAAGCAAGGCGTCTCCTTTTTTTTCTATTTTCTAGTCTATTGCTGACGATTTGATTACGTTATTGATAATAGTACTGTGGTTGGTAACGTAATCCATCATTTATTTGACATAATTTCCCTTTCAACCAGTCTGTCGGAACCTCCGTTCGATCAACTTACCTCAACGAATAACACTAGTTTATCGTCTCATACTTTACGCAAAAAGCATTCTTTCGATAAGCATCAATATCTAGTGCATATGGGGAACAGATAATGGATGGCTTTTTTAATACCACATTCTGTTATTCATTAGCTTTAACGTGCAGATGTCAATGGTTGAATTATATTTATTTCAGCAGGGGGAACAATTGAGAATTAGCAAATTGAAACATTTTTATTTTCATCCCGAGTGCTCTCCAAAATATGAGCAATTCTTTCTTAATTTCAACCTGACCTAAAAATATTTCGAATAAAATTATTCAAACGATTTATGAATGTCGGTCAATTATTTGGCACGCTCCGCGTGCCTAAAAGTCCACTTTTCGTCACAGCGTGATGAAAACAGTTGATCAAAACAGCTTGTGATAGAAGGTTTGAGGTAACTTGTCCACGTGATCAAATTTGTGATCATTTGTCCCATAATCAACTGTACCCGTGATAAGAAGGGGTGATACCCCGTGTCACTGTCTGTTTCTAGTTGTAATAAGAACTAGATAATAGATTTTAGAGGAGATTGCGGGAAAATGAATTGTCTTTGATTGGCCGAATGAAATTCAATCAGCTTGACTCTATTTTCGATATTTCTTTATCTTTCAAAATGAAAATTAGTTGTTCATATTCGTATTGTTTGTTCAGAACACATCGGACATCGAAGAGTATGAGTACTGAAAAATCTTAGTTATTATTCAAATCAGCGATACATTTGCCGCCATTCCAAAGGAAGTAGAACAACAACCAATGGGAAGCCAAGAAATTCCAGGGTAAATCGACTACACGATTATGTACCGTCAAATTCAGTGTTGATAAAATTTTTTCGCAAAAGGAGTCGAAAAAACTCAGTAACAATAGTCAAATTACGATACAGAGGTCTTAAAAAATTGCACTGCTAGTGTTGTTGATTGTTAATCTCAGTTAGATATGGAGAGAAACATCGAGCGAACTCTGGAGGAGGCGTAAGTATGATTCTTTCAGGTTAACTGATGATAATTGTTAGATTCATTTTACTGATGATAATGAACAATCTAATTAATAACGTTACCTTGGTCACAGGAAAAATGTACCTGGGGTCACCGGTTGTATTTTGACTGACAAAGCTGGTCTTTGTCTCGCAAGTGAGTATTGTTATGACAATCTCATTGATAGTTTGTTACTCCTACAACTTTGACTCTGTTACTTCCACTCAAAAATCTCTGACCGTCAAATCTGTGATAAAATCTGTTACTCCACAACTCCAATCCTATTAGTGTTAACCTGTTGTTGTTACTATTAATCTATTACTATTATTGTTGTTACTCTTAATCTGTTACTATTATTCTGCTAATCTATTACTCCCAATCTGTTATTATTACTCTATTAATCTGTTACTGTTACGAGTTCTCGTGGAGAACTACGGAGCCTCAGTTTTTTGCACGTAGGCCCACAGTTTCCGTGAAAATCGTGAAAATTCAAAGTTTTCCCTTCCAATCTTGCATTGCCCCAACACGACCATTGACCTGGAACCTTAGGTATTGTAAGTGATCGAATTTGAATTATTATTATTTCATTTTTGGTGCTCCTCGGTATTCCTCTTCGGGGCGATTTCCCCCGATGTTCCTCTGGACGTCCTCTTGCCCGCCCGTCCCGATGTCCACTCACTGTGGAGACTAGTGATCAACTGCGTATCATGCACTACATTAGGATCCTCTTGATGCGACCCCAAGAGATTTTACTCAGGGTCTCCTGTTCTTTCCTCAGGTCCTCTCCAAACAGATTCACAAATAAATTTTCTCATTCCGGCCGTAAGCTTGAGGGAAATATCCGATGAATTTTGAAGGTCGAGCGATATTCGGAGGACAATTTCCTCGATTCTGATTTTGGCCGAACAGACTGCGATGTTCGGGATTACGTGACCCTTTTCACCAAAATATCTGTCAAAAGAAGAAAAACACTTGATAGGCTACTGTAGAATTATCAATTTGATAATTCACCCGTAGCCCGGCGAATGATCAAATTAAAATTGCACACTCTGATTGGTTGAAATTGGAATTGAGGAAATTGTCACTTGTAATACCACAAGAGCTTCAAAATTGTCGGGTATTTTCCGATAGGTTCATTGCAAACAAACGAAGGAGTCAAGTTTTTCAGGTTAAAAAATCACGAGTGATTTTTCCTACAAAACTTGACGACTTCGTTTGTATGCAGGGAACCTTGAGAAAAATACCCGATTTATTTTGAAGCTCGTGTGGTATTCGGGGGATTATTTTTCCAATCCAAATGTCGGGCAATATAATTGAACCAGGAGACGAAACTCACTATTGAGAAACGAAAATTGTGTAATTAACACTCATTTTGAATAAAAATCCTCGGATTACCACAATTGAATTCAATCTGTCAGTTTGACGAGGGGTCAATTCAACTGCATGATGTTTTGATTTTTATATAGCAACTACCAGAGAAAATTATCAAAAAATTATCAGTTGAAAACCCTGTAGCTTGTACCACGTGATGTCGAATGAGCCAATTATATTGCCCGATATTTGGGTTGGAAAAATAGTCACTGAAATTCTGATTTGGATGTACTTCACAGCGTCGAATATTGCGCTCTGATTGATGAATCCAAAGAGCGAAAAATCCGATGGTCAGCTTCAAAATGGTCGGGTATTTCCTGATAGCTTCGTTCCAAACAAATAAGAGTCTCAAGTTTCGCAGGTTAAAAAATTTCGAGCGCTTGCGCGAGGGAACCAGCGAACTTGACACCCTCGTTTGTATGGACAGAAGCTGAAGAAAATACCCGATTTATTTTGAAGCTCAAGTGGTATTCGGCAGACTATTTCCTTCTTCTCAATTTCGGCAACAAATTGTTTGCGAATATTTCCTTAGTTGCCATGGGTAACGGGGTATAACAGAATATTATCGAAATAATACCACGTTACTCTCTCAAAAGCAACAATTCTATTGGTCGAGATTCTGAAGGAGGAAATAGTCAGTAGGAATACCACCAGACCTCCAAAATTATCGGATATTTCCCGATTGTTTTGTTCCGTAGCAACGAGAGAGACAAGTTTTGCAGATTTAAATTTTTGTGCAAAACTTATCCCGATCGTTGATACGCAGGAAAACATGAGGGAAATGTTCGATTAATTTTGGAGGTCGGGTGGTATTTGACGGATTATTTTTGGTAATCAGATCCTTTCCAAACCGACTCATTTTGACTTTCTTCATGACTTTCTTTCACTCCACAGAGTAATATTTGGCAGTTATTTGGTTAGAGAAACAATTGCAGAGCTAGAGGGAAATGATCAAAAGCTACAGGGAAATTATCAAAAGCTGGGGGGAAATAACCGCTGTAATTGTAATTGGGAAGTACTTCATGTTTTTGAATATTGAACGCTGATTGGCCCAGGGAAGGCCAGATCCGATTACCAAAAAAAAATCACTAGAATTTCCAATTCAAGGTGCAAGATTTCTATTGCATTTTTTGATATGTGAAATATTTACAGCAAATGAAAACTTTCCGAAATTTTGTAGTAGAATAATCCAGAATAATAATCAAGATAATCTGAAGGAATCATTTCTTACCATGTTTTTAGCTGCTGGAAATATTTCCGGTGATAGTGCTGGCCTGATAGCAGCTATTGCTAGTCAAGCAGCTAAATTGGAGCCTGGACTAGAAGCTCCAATTATTTGCCTGCAAAATAACTCGAGGTATGGATTTTTTTATACTGTCTGCCGTACACGAAAGATCATTTTTTTATTACTCAATGGAATAATCACATGTACTGTAGTTGAATTATTGCATTCGAATTTTTTTTGGCAGGCAATGTCTGATTCAGCGTCAAGGTCCAGTAGTTGGTGCCATTTTCAAGGACACGTCCCAATGAAAATCAGTGTATCTTCTCGAATTATCCAATTTTACGATGGATTTTTGATTCGTTTGTCTTCATTTTTCAATTGGATACGAGAAATAGATAGACTTGTAACTATGATGATTTGAAAAGAACTGAGAAACGTGGGTGATATATCTTATGAGCGAAGTTTCTATATCTGTATATATGTTGAATAACGCTACGAATATAAGTGCTATTGAAAACTTCTTTAATTAAGTGTAAGGATATAATAAAAATTTATTGGTTTTATTTTTATCCATCGATTTTTCACAAGTATTTACGTATTTTTCTAGTATGTAATTGTCGAAATAATAGCGTTACTGTTTCTAAAAATTTTTCCCGCGTTTGATCACTAGGACTAGTCCGAGGGGCTATTCACAGGCGTAATCATGGTGTCACTCGCTGATGTAATCAATTGTAATCCCAGTGAAATCAATGTAATCATTGTAATCACATGATTACCGTATTTATAATCAAGTTTTGGTAATCATATGGTAATAATTTGTAATCACTGTAATAATTTGTAATCAGTGTAATCTTTCGTAGTTGCTCCTAGTGAAACCGTGAATTTTGTTTTTGAATTTTCCAGCGCGTCATTTCTACCAACGGTAAGTCTCAGAGATTCCTGGATCAATTTTTCTTGGAATCCCAGTTGTTTATGGTTCAGAAACTTGCATAGCCAATGCGTTTTGCACAGAGCATTTGTCGGTAGAAAATTGATTCAACAGAGTTAAAATTTCTTATTCTGGAGAACCAACGACTGAATTATCTCTGAATTATCTGCTAGTAAGTTTCATTCTCCATCAATGGTAGATATTCAGTAAATTTATTCTGCTGATAGCACTTATCAATGCCCAAATTTTTAGATGGAGTGATGGAGACTGCATTCCTCTGTTTTAATCTCCGCCCCTCCTTCCTCATTTCTTTGCAGGTTCTAATAATTAATTATTCCATCAATTCATATTTAATAAGAGGCCATTTTTTGTGATTTCAATGATTACAGATGTTTGGTAATCACAGAATATAATCGACGAAATCATTTGTAATCATGTACATTTTGTAATCGCGGTGTCACCCAATTCGCTTGTGAATAGCCCCTCAGGCTAGTCAACAATAAGCCCGGAACGGAACGGGCACAAAGAACTCACTCCGATCCCATGTGTTTTTCTACCTACGACTCGACTGGGCAGAGGATAGACTGATGTAAAGGCGCAGTTCTCGGGTTTTGGACGACCAACTCTCTTTGGTCTTCACTTTATCTTCTTAATTATTTATCATTCAATTTTCAAATGGTCCGTACGTCCAAGTTATTCGAAGAATTTCAACTCTTGAACTTTCATTGGATTGTACAATATAAATCCTTAATCCTGACATCTGTATTTTGAAACTCATCCAATGGTAGACGAGTAATTTGACTTTTTTCATCACAGTTTTCGGTGGTAAATAAATCTAATTTTTTACTCGTCATACAAATATGAAAATTATTCAGGACATGAATAATTTCTCGAATATCAAGTGTCAAAATCTCAACGGTGTCAGTCACTTATTTGACTGCCAAATGACATTTCGAAAATTCATCGGTAAATTGAGGGGGTAGTATCGTTTCCCCTTAAGGTGTTCATATCACCCCGCATGCCAATTTTACACCTCTTTTTTCCTATTAGTAGATATTACATTACTATCTCGGTAAACGAATAATTTACTTTTTAAATGAGTATTTGTCATTCTTGCTCAATGACGTATCAATTTATTTGATGATAATTTAACGATACAAAACACAAAAATCAGAGTAAGCATATCATATAAACATTATTCAAGAATAGAGTGGGAAAAGGTAAAAAATGAAATGTATTTGATTTTTTTTCCACTTGAAATCATCTCATACTTGAGTGGATTTAGAGAAAATTTCTATTTAAAGAAACCTTTTCCAATGGGAAATTGAATTCTCTACGAAAAAAGGTCTCCTACATTTTCTCTAAAACCACCGGTTACCAAAATAATTCAACTCTACAGAGATGAAATAATAAACAGCTTTTCTATTGTGTTTTATGACTCCTCTAGTGAATTGAACTTCTCTCCATTAAAGAATACGAAAACGAAAAAGTATCCGAAAACAAACATGAAAAAATATAAGTTGCAGGTAAAGATCTTAGTAATAGATGCAATGGTTTTTTGAATGATTTTGTGAATAATTTGTTGATTTACTCTGAAGAAATACGAGCAATGTTGCAATCTGCCTTCAGTTGCTTCAGCAGTTGGGAGTTGTATTCTGTATAATCGACTGGAGCGAGGGATGCGATAACGCTCCTTAGCCTCACATCATCCTAAAAATCATCAGCAAGAAATTAATGATTGTTCATTACTGTCAATTTCTTTCAAAACAAAACAAAAATCTTTTAAGGCCCGGGTATACTATCTTTCGGACGTTATCTCGATGTTTTTTTTTTTTCATCTTTCGTCATCTGAAATTGTCAATTAAGTCCTGCATCATGCAGAAGTTTAGAAAAATTATGAATGAATAATCCAAAAAAAAGTAGAAAAAATTCTCAATTTTTTCAAAGAGCATTTTTAATTTATGTTCAGAATAAGTTGAATAACAAGAAATTGAAAAATGTATCTGATTTACGGTGACAAATGGCGGCCTGTCACCCAATATCATGCAGGGGGAAGACTGATTTCATAAATCTTTTCACACACCGCACAGAGACATTTATTAAGGAAAAGGCTCTTTGAAAAATGTTGTAATATGACAGCTAATAAATAAGTTGCCAGAACGAATCAGATATTTGTAATTTCCACTTTTTTCTACTCATTCTGAATTTCAATTAAAAACGCTCTTTGAAAAAGTTCAGAATTTTTTTTATTTTTTTTCATCATTCTATCATAATTTTTGGGAATTTCTACATGATGTACCACTCAATTGACAATTTTGGATTACGAAAAATGAAAAAAGTCTAGATAACATTCGAAAGATAGTACACCCGGGCCTTAAATGAGAAAAAAACTTTTTCCCGGAAAATTTGTTTTCCGAAAGTCGAAAGATAGCATATAGCATCCTGCTTTCCAAATAATTTGTACCTTAAAAACATCTAAGGTTTGACCGAGTAAAATAGCCCGGGGATAATACAGAAAAAAAATCTCTTGAGGCACTCAGCCGGCCATCGGATTTCGAAACAAATCTCGGGATTTAAGAGAAGTAGAGAAAGATGTCAGAACAATCTTTTTGTAACTGAAAAAATTCACTACAAAAAATGTCCGGTCGAAGTTTTGTCCATCCACCTTAGATTCGGAGATATTCATAAAAAGCTGAGACATGAGGCAAAATAAATTGATAGACTTGATTTTAACTCAATTCTCGTACCAAGTAGTTGTCCAGTTTCATCCTGATCTTGAAGATGTAGGAGCTGAATGAAATGGAGGCACATTTGGTGAGGTAGGTGTCACGATCTTGGTCAGCTAGTTCTCCGAGCTCCTGAGCTGTCATACCGAGCATTTTTTCAGCTTCACCGCTGAATGCTGTGGCCCAGATGCTGCCTGTGTGATCTGAAATGTTTATCTGTGGAAGAAAAAATTTATTGAATAATATTCAATCACAAATTGTTTGTTAAATGATCAATCGATATCGTTACGTACAGAGTCTTATTCATTATAGAAGGTTCTTATTTTGCAATATTGTTCGTTAAGAAATCAAGATTTAGTTTGAAAAGTTCACCATAAATCGTTAATCTTTCAATAACTGGTGGTTGCGCGGAGAATATCAAATTATGTTTATCCCGAAAACTGCTCATTATTGAGATAATGCCAGGATTAACCGGATGTAAGAACTGGCATTGTTTCATCCTTTTATTTTGTCTTTTATTTATGTGCATGCGCTCTTGTGATTTTAATAACAGCACATTATACTGTGACCAAGATCACGAGGGTAAATACAAATAAATCAATAAAATTATCACTTTGTTCTTGAATTGAATTCTTACCTGTGCCAATAAACGATATTTGAAGTTTGGAAAATCTCTGTTACATTTCTCACACCTGAAGCATCCCTCGTGATCAACAACCTGTAATAAGAATAATTGAAACATGTAAATGATGAGAATAAAAATGTGATTTGGTAAAAAAAAGAATATTTTTTTCACTTGAGAAAGACGTCCGTGAAATTGAAAAATCTTTAGTTTACGAAGGGATCCATCGAGCGACTTTTAATTCACAAAAGTGAGGAAAATCTCAACCTTTTTATCGAAGTGAAATGTCGTTCTTTCGACTATGCTTGGGCCCAGAATTTTTGTTTGATTTAGACTGTTCTTTTCATGGAATGTTCGCTAAGCTTCAAATAATAAAATTGGGTATTTGTTTTTCATTATATTCAATGAATCATAAGGAAATGGAATTTCAATGAGGTCTTTCGGCTGATTTTGATTTTTTGAGAGGGTATCCAAGGATACACTGTTAGAAATTTTTTGAAATTTTATGGAAGATATTAGAGTAAATATCACGAGACTGATATTGAATCGGATTTACGGAAAAAATGATTATGAAATTTCAAGTTTTAAGTAGAATTCTCGGAAATCCATGAGTTTTCAGTGGAAGTTACATGGAAATTTCACAACTTGATTTAATGTTCAGTGGAACATGAATATTCAGAAACAAAATGACATAAATTTTCAATTTTTCATTATTCGCAATTCTCAATTATAACGTAACGAATGGTACATTTTTTCCGCTAAATTTGTCAATAAAATAGTAAGATAAGTCTAACTTGAATGAAAATTCTGTCCAAAGGAACACTTTGCAGGTAAAAACTAAAAGCTCCATTTCATCTTAAAATGCAAAGGTCAAATCGATCAGGTTCAAAGTTGGTTCTATCTTGACATGCACCTCATCATGGATTACAATTTGTTCGATAAGTCCTTTCAACAACCACAGATTTTTCAAATTCACCCATGTTCCCTCTCAAAAACTTGAAGTTTATTCCGAGAACAAATGATGCTACACTAAAACCTCAAGGAATATTGTTTTAGGAAATCTAACTTTGTACAAAAAAAATCTTTTAATTGATGATGAGACATCACCTAGAGTGGTAGTTACTAAACGAAGTGGAAATTTAGCAATCGAGAAGACCGCACGTGTATTGAATTGTAGCATCTCGTGAAAGTATATCAACTACTCAAATTCAGTAAATTATCAGAGACAATTATCAAAGACATTCAACAGTTATTTAACAATTCAGTAAATTAACTTCGCTATTAATATTTTGAGACACTCCACAATCTAGTTTAAACCAAAGTGCATATTGCCTTAACGAAGTGGTTCGATCCCACTAAGTATAGTAACATTTTTATAAATTAGTGTTTTTTTGATGTTTTTTAAATTAATCACAGAGTTAAGCGGTAACGGAATTTTCCAATTTTTTGAACAAATTTCCTGCTAAAAGTTATCGATATTTTTACAAATCTAAGCACATTAATCTGCAGAAAGCGATGATGACGATCAATGTGCGTTGGGTTAAAAAAATATTAATAACTTTGAGCAGGAAATTTCTTTGAAAATTTCGAGGAAACAGTAGTCTTCTGTTACCCCACCTAAGCTGCAATTCACGCTTAATTATTAATAATTCATAATGCCTAAATACCTTTTTGTTACATGTATCTGTGGGACAAGCTTTGTAAATAGCATTCTCTGAACGAATAAAAGTGACAGCAGCCTTGCAGAGATAAGTTTCAGTGTTGCTCATGGTGAGTGCGGTTCCTGCGGCAAATGCAGCTCCGATGTTCATCCATGATCCAGCCATGGAACCACCACCAATACCCCTCGAGATTGATTTTGCCTCCGCACTGTGGCCAGTAGTTGTCCACCATCCACGAAGTCTGAAAACAAACAAATTTTAAATTGAAATAGTGAATTCATTTCATATTGCTATGAAGTTTTCGAATTATTTCGGAAATAAGTTAATGAGAAAATGTCGAGATCTTTTTATAAGAAATTCAAATTCCCTACTAAATTTTTCCTCTATGCATAAAAAATTGTTTCAACGTTATCTGTTACTGATTTATTTCGTTCAGTTATATGGTATTTCTATTTACAAATAATATATTACATGTTTTCATGGTATAGAGGAGGTTAGGGGAAAATGGACACTTTTGACTTTTTTTAAAATGTTAATGACAGGTTGAAATTTTGATGAAATTTAATTTTTTCTTTTCAATACAAAGAACAATTCTTTCCCTTTGTGATGAGTCTATAAATTGAGCTCAACTGATAAATTTGCTTCTGAGTTATGAATAATAAAAAAAAAGTAATGTCCATTTTACCCTACCCTCCCCTACGTTAAAGAAATAAGATGGAACATAAAAAAACAAAACATTCATTGAGTACTACAACATATGAAGTAGATCGATTGTTTCTCTAAAGAAGTAGCTCTACTACGAAGTTATATAATAACTTAATTTTGATTAGTGTCAATGATTAGAGCCTATCAAATTTTATATAAATCAAGAAACAAATCATGAAATTTGATACAATCCCTATGGAATGACTTTTATAAAATAAAAACATGCAAGACCACACACATAAATAAATACAGCCACCATCTAAAAATCGCATATCGGACTTTTCAGACCATATATTCAATTAATTCATTTATTAGTTTTTAAGCCTCAATTCTAAAATATTTTAATGCAAAAACCACTTTAATTAATTTGAGAACTCGTTTTCTTGATATGAAGAAATTGTCCTCATCTTTCGGACAAGTATAAAAGTTCTTGGCGGAAGATTTTTTTTTCTTAGTGTGAGGTATTGTGCGCTTGGTAATTTTCAAGCCACGAATTTCTTGATACAAATAAAAAAGTACTTTTTCAAAAACACTTGTTTTCTCAATGTAAGAAAGAAAAATGAAAATTTAAATTTGAACGTTTATAGTACTTCCATTCGAAAGCCAAAAAACATCTCTTGACATTGTGTAAAACCAGTCATTCTCGAGACAATTGATGAAGATGAAATGAAAAATTTCTACTTTAATTATACCTGTGGGCTTCAGGGAGATCTGGATCGACTTGAATGACAGATGATGATAAAGTTGACAGGGATTTCCCACCATTGAACTCTCCAAGTCTAGCCCCTTTTACTGCAATCACTGGGTGGTTTGATCCATCGAAGCTTTCAGCTTGAGTGCCCCAAAGAGTAAGAGTAATCTATTATCAGACAAAACAAAATATCTTAAACATCAGTTTCGTTCAAATCTCGAGATATTTCCGGAAAAAAATCTTCAATTGAAATTTACTACGCGATTGGAAATCAAGCATTGACAGAGTTAGAAATTACCATCATATTGCTCATGTCTATCATATGAACATCCCTTTTACGCAGTTCTGTACCATCGGAGCGCTTTGTGAGGCTTTGCACTTCGTCGACTTGCTTGACGACTCCCAGAATATCTGCAAAGATATGACAAGTGAGATCGATTTTGTAACAATTCAATTTAAATTTTAGATATTTTTGTGGAAGCCGTTCTGATGCAGATAAGTTAAAGCTATAAAAAATCCTCATGAGAATTATCCATAATAAAGCGGAAATGTTTACTAAAAACTCATCTGTTCGAAAATGAGGGGGATTTAGTCGTGAAAAAATTCATTAATTTCTTTGATTATCTCAATGATAACGGATTCTAGAGCAAAATGTTAAAATACCTGGTTAATAACTGAGAAAGTTTTCTATAATAGTCGTTTTCTGACATTTTTGGTGAAAATCTACCATTATCGAATGAACAAATTTGAGCTTGAATTTGTTGGCATTCCAAAACATGCCCACATTTTCACGACCAATTCTCAATTAATTTCAGCTAATTTCGAGAAAATTCTTTTAATCATTGATCTTGATATAATTTAACTGCACGGAGATTAAAATACAGACTCGGTTTATTAAATGGCGTGCAACGAGATATTACCATTATCAAGACTTCAATGAAATTTTGTTTCAAATATTCCGAAAAAGGGATTAGTCTCCTTGTAGATTGCCTATTTTTTAATTTTATTATTAATTTTTTTGTGGAATCATTTTCAATATTTGTAATTAAATATAAGATGTTAAATATAAGCTCCACTTGACCATGGGTTACTGAACATTTTGCCATGATAATATAAATAATATAAACATAAATATAAACTTGGTAAATATAAAGAAGAGTGAACAAAAAATAACGTGTGGTGTAACAGTCGCACTGTTTATATCATAAATAAATTATGAACAATCCATTTTTTACTTGAGAATTATCTCTGCAAACTTCTAACAAACTTGTTCATATTTCAAATTTTACCAGCAATAAATTATATGCAAAAAAAGCAGTTTCCTAACCGTTTTATGAAATCCCATTATTTATTTATAAAAAGTAAATAGTGAAAAGTAATCAACTTTGAAAGATTATTGATCATTTGTTATCTAAAATTCTTCATGAGCACTTGATTTTCAAATACGATGATTAGATATCTCCAAATTTACGATGTGATTTACACAACATTTTTATAACTTCTTTGGATATTGTCAATTTTTCTAATATTATGTCATTAACGAGTGATTCCAGAAAAACATCGAAAGATCTCCTTTATAGCTGAGAAAAATCTCTACAAGAAATACCGATTGACATTTTCCTCTAAAACTACTCATTAAGGAGATCAGATTTAACTTCGAATATTGCAAGCGACAACAGGCTTCTTCATTTGTCTACGTGATTCTCTCAGAAAGGCGTAGTTTCAAAGCAAAATGTCAAAAGATCGGTTTTGTAGCGGATGAAATTCTCCACAAAAAATTCTTACAACGATTTTTCTACCTCTATTACATCAAAAGATACGAGCGACTTCAAATATCAAGGGGGGACTCACCAACTATTTCGCCTTTCTCATACTTCTCGATGTCCTCGATTCCTTTGAAATCAAAATTGATCATTGGAATGTCATCTGCAGTGTCGTCACAGGGGATGATCTCAGTGTCGTTCGTCATGCTCATCTCGTAGTCGTTGTGGAGATTGTTAAAGGCTTTGTTAGCTGGTTTCAGTTGACAACGAGAAATGTAGTAGACTTTTCCAACCTGAAAATTAATAATAATAATTTTCAATATTATTTTGAGGCAAAAAGAGATGAATGTTATTTTTTAAATGAACATTTTCATAAGAATATTCATGAAATTATAAAATTTTGTCCAATTATTCTTATCCTCGTTGAAGTACCCTGTGAACGTATTATCAAATACAAAATGTCAAATCTGCAAAAACGACATTTTCAGTGAGAAATTTTTAGCTTTTTGTACTTTCTTCAAGGTCGTTTTGTGCTCTTCTTGTGCAAAGAATGAATTATTTACCTCAATAATGTCATAGAACTTGTCAACAGCCTCTCTAAATGCTGTGCATCTGATCTCTCCACTCTCGTCAAGGAGATCCATGTTGAAGAGTTTTCCCTCACCACGAGAATTGCTCCAGGTTCTGATGGCAGACTTGCTGCTAACTCTAGCCTTTATGACCCACCTGTTAATAAAAAAAAAATCAAGGTAACAAGTGCGTTCAGTACTGGAGACTTACTTTAGGGAGAGTGACAGACATGGATTCACCCATTATTTTCAAAATTTTATTAGAAGGTAGTTCGAAGTTCGGGGGGAATATATGAAGTCATTTTTCATGAAATATGAAATATTGAATTTTCTACGAAGAGAGTATCTTGACATTTTTTAATACACCTAATAATGTTGGAGATAAATTGCAAAATACTGTAGTTTTTTTTTTCAATTTTTATCACGATGATAAAGGAATGAAAGTCGCGTATTCTTTTGAATATCTGCGAACGCAGCTGCACTCTGATGTCCGCCGGAGCAACACCTAACTCACCCAACCATTACGGTCGGTCCCTTTTGAACTGATAATTTTTTGATAATTTTCTATTGTTGACGCTATATAAAAAAAACAAAAGATAATGATAATGATTGTTCTCATCTCCATGATATTAATCAACATAAGAAAGGTCAGGGGATATTGGAAAAATAATTATGTTGATTAAATTGTCATAGTGCGACGTTTCGCTAAATTATTTTAGCTTCATCAGGCTCTTGACGGCAATCTACGTCTAGTGAAACTACTTCTATTAATATTAGTGTGGGAATATATACTATATTAACAAATAAACAAAAAGCAGAAATATAGGATCAACCAAACGCAAGGAGAAGCTAAAATAATTTAGCGAAATGTCGCACTAAGACAATTTAATCAACGTCGTAATTATTTCTCCAATATCCCCTGACCTTATATTAAACAAAAGATAATTCAATCACGTGAACCTCCTTTCGTCGAAATTGAAAAAACGATTGTATTTCAGGGAGCAATTCTCTTCGCAGGAATTTGGATAGAAAAATTCTCAGTGGAATATCACTTGAACTTCAAGATGAATCGGCTAATTTTGAAGCTCTTGTGATATTACATACAATTGGCCAAATAAGTTCTGTCCCATCTGAAGATGGTTTCATCGGGGAAGCCCAATAGGGGATCAGCTTCAGCTGGGACAGAACTTATTTGGCTGATTGTATGATCAAATTTTGAGATTGACTTCCATGTGGAGAAACTGGATTTTTTATGAATGATTTAGAACGGATGTAGTAAAAAATTACCTGTTTTGATATGGACTTAATGCACCGATGGGTGTAGTTGAAATGTGAGTTCCAGAATTGATTGTATTGTTCAGAGCTCTCTTCTCTGGCACTCCTAAAAACAAATGGATAATGACATTTTTTAAATAAATGAGTATAGTAATTGTTGCTAATAAATTAGCAATTTGCTTCTGAATAAGTTCTCTTCTTTGAAATTCTTATTTCACTATTCTCTTATATTTTTTCTAGTGATAGTGCTATCATTAATTAAAATGTCATCAAAATTTTGCGTATTATTTCGTTCTGTCAAATAATTATATATTCAGATGTTCTCAAGACTCGAAGTCGTTTTCTGTCCAAGTTTAATCAAGGTTCAATCAAGGTTTAATCAGTTTATAGCCGGCATTTAATCATGATTTATTCGGGATTTAGCCAGGGTTTAACCCAGGTTCAGACGTGTCAGGAGTTAGTCGGGAGCATCAATCAATATGAATAAGTATTCAACGTAATAGACTAGTACCTGAGTTTAATGGAGATGGAGATTTTGATATAATAATCTCATGGCGGTTCTGTGTAACTTTATAAGCAGCGATGCTGTTCTCACCATTTTTCAGTTTCATTAAGAAGGGCTGAAATATACTTTTTAAGCCCTGATTTAATTGATATTACTCATGATTCTTTCAGTAATCATGAAAAAAACAGATTTTCTTTTTCAAATCGTATAAGCAATGTGCTGCAACTCAACAATGAATTGTGCAACCCCCATGATATTTTGATACAATCAAAAGGAACAATCAAAAGGGCCATGATATTTTGATACAATCAAATTATCAATTTTTCCATTTTGATGACAATTTTTAAATGATCGTTAAAAAATCGATTTTGGGAAAATAGAATTTTCTTCGAAACTATATGCAAAATTAAATTTCATTTGGTGTCAATGAATAGAGCTTATTAAAATCATGAAGAAATTATTACAATTCAATTGATCCCGTATACGCAAATTTCGAGAAAAAAAATGAAGAAAAAAGACCACATACATACATGCACAGAAACACCATCTAAAAATCACCTATTCGGTCTTTGTAAACCATATTTTGTTATCCTAACACAAAAAATTGGAAACTTAAATTTGAGTGAATTCCAATTCTTCCATTCGGAAGCAAAATGAAAATTCAAATATTTATTTCAATCGAATATTCTCGGAAACATAGGAGAAGGAAGATAATTTACTGGAGACTGGAGCAGCAGCGGGTCTCTTCACAGCAGAACCTGGAGCAGCTGCATCGGGAGACTCCTCAACCCCATTGTCAGAGGAAATGTGTTTCTCCACAGGAACAGGATTCCCAATCTTTCCACCAACATCAGCCCCTGCTGCTTTCTGGGTGACTTCAAGAATAATCATTATGCGTCTGGAAAATACCAAAAAATCACATTGACTATGTGCTTGCCTCACAGAGGTCATTAGTGAGAAAATTGCCTACAAGAAAGACTTTTTAACATTTCTCTGACGGAACCCATTTAACAGATTACACGAATGCTACTCTCCACGTATTTTTTTTTCGCCTATTTTCATTACTACCAATTTCATTGGTAGTAGGGCTCCCGAATGGATCCCAATGTATGTTTTTAAAAAATGAAGGCATGAGAATTACCATTTTTTCTCATTTTCCCCTATTTCTATAAAATAAATTTGAAAGAAACATATATTCATGTTTCATGCATATAACATGAATATATGAGGCCATGGCTTTCTCAGTTATCCTGATGTGAAAATAAACGGTGAAATATAGATGCGTCAATTTTTTTTTCTCAAGAATTTTGGGTGAATTGTTCTAGCTCAAGAATGATCAAATATCTTGACCTAAAATTTGATATAGGAATGTTCCTTGACAATCCTAACTAGAAGCTACTAGTTAGTTTTAGTATAGTTTTTTTTCGCTAATAAATTAGCAATTTGCTTCCGAATGGATTAATCGAATTAAAACAAAATAGTGCATATTTGGTTTTTTTTATCAATTTTAGATTAGTAGGGAAGCTCAACCATGACTTGACTGTGACTTGATCTGGTCAATATCGGGCCAGTGGTCGGCCCAGGGTTGGGCCAATGTCGGCTCCCTAATAAGGCTATAATTTCAAAGGAAATAATGCGATGGTCACTATTTCCGAACTCGACCAAAATAACATCCAAACGAATATTTTAAGGCATAATTGAAAAGATTTCGATGATTATTTTTCCCAATCGGATTTCAACCAATCAGAGCGCAGTAGTTGAGGCTACCCGACAGTTTTATTTCGGATATTTTCTCCTATTTTGAATATTTCGCATTAGTTGTTCATTTTTTTACCTGAATATTTCGCAGTAGCTCTTTATTTTTTCGGCTCATTTCAGATAAGATCTTATATTTGATAGTCTATGGAAATCAGGTTATTCTATTAACATAATTTGTTCAAATCTTCCCCAATTCACCTTCTGATGTTGTCCACTGCACTCTACTTGGCCAAAATCCGATTGGGAAAAATAATCCGACAAATATCCCTCTAGATTCAAAATTAATCGGGTATTTCCCTCAAGCTCCCCTGCAAATAAACCATTGTGCTAAGTTTTGCAGGAAAGTCCCTCGCGCAAGTGCTGGGGGTTTTTTAACCTACAAAACTTGACACCCTCATTTGCTCGCCACGAAGATATCGGGAAATACCCGATAATTTTGAAACTCTTGGGGTATTACTACTGATTATTTTTTTATTGATCGTCGAAAAACTAAATTGGAAAAAAAGCTCATATACATACATACATACGGACATGATCTAAAAACAGCATATTTAAACTCCTGAGATCAAAATTAGTCATCCTGACACAAAAAAATGAAAATTTTAGATTCGACGAATCCAATGCTTCCATTCGGAAGCAAAATACAAAAACGACGATATCTTGAAAACTTTCAATGGGATGGCACCCATATTTTGTTGGATCTAGACGGATAACATCAAAACGCCCATTTTGGAAAAAAAAATTTCAATCGGACCAATAGTTTTTGAGATCTTGAGCGAAAGAGTTTCACATACAAAGTTGAATATCTCCGAAACTACTGATCCGAGTTCGTTCATCCAGAATTCCAACATTTTTTACCATAAGACCTGAAATCATACCAAGTTTCAAGTTTCTATCTCGTTTATTTTTTAAGTTATCACGTAAACAAGCAATTTCAGCGAAAAAATGAAAAAACGAGACTAAAACTACATTGCTCAGGGTGTAATGGTCTTTTCTCAATTCACTTAAATAGGTATCATCATGACGATTATTTTGAAAAATAAAAATCGAATTGGTCGAATGGTTCAAGAGGTATCGGCAAAAAACGATTTTCGAAGAATCGCTGTATCTCAAGAACCGCTGAACCGATCGAGCTGAAATTTAGCACAAATCTGAGTGTCAGTAGTACCAATTAGCAGCCAAAATTTCAGCATCATTGCCTCAATAATTTTCGAGTTATGGGGATACGAACACACATGTGCCCACACATAGACATTTTTTAAAAACATCATTTCTTCACGTTTCATGACATTTCTAGGCATTTTCATCCAAAATTAAGAAATCTAAAAAAAATCACGATTACAACGCTTCCATTCGAAAGCAAAAATTTCACAAAAGTTCCATTTTCAATGAATGGGTTGATAAACGAGTGATTTTAGAAAGAAATGTCAAAAGATATTTCATACAGCTTTGAAAATGTTTTAATCATCTTCAATCACCTGGGCTTTCCCCCATTGTTCGCCTGACTGAGAACATAACGTCCAATCTCAATGATGGAAAAATCAGCAAGGGTACCCTCATCGATAATGTGATTCAGTTGAGTCGCCAACATGGTGAACGAGCTGATGTACAGGCTATCAGAAATCAAAACTCTATAGCGATCCCCATTCCCCAGCTTCTTAAGGCCCTGTAAACACATGAATGGGTGAGAACAAAGGGGTTGACCTTCAATATTTGCCGAAAAATAATAAACATCAAGAGTATCAAATTCATACCAGCACTTGGCAAATGGGCTTGTCGATATCTTGTCCCTGGTAAATTTTCTAAAATCAGATAAATTCACGAATGTCAGAAAAAAATTCTCAAAAAATTAGGGTTCGATGCGTCGTTTGACAACGGAATGATTTTTACTCACCAGCAAGGCACCTTTTGTGAGACCTGGAAGTGTCATCTCGATTGTTTCTGTCTTCAATCAATAAAGATACTGAATTATGAAGTGTTAGCGTGGTTTTTCTTTTTTTATTTTACTCGTAGATTTTACTACGCAGGAAGTGTAAACACGTCTGATCCTGTCGCAGGTAATCACTTGTTTTGGTTAGAGCGTCAGAGCAGAGAGCAGAGCTGGTTGACTGTGCCGACCGCGCCGCTTTCCCGCCAGATCGTGGAGCATTAAAAGTTTTTCGACCAATTCACGAACTAATGGCGCCAGGTGGCCACCCACTTTTCAATGGATCAGACAAGGATAGCATGCATCTGACCATGGGTGCATTTCGGAACCAACTACGCCCAGTGGCAGTACTGTACTGTAACTGCGGATTTCACTGCAGAGTGTTTCGTAATTCCGCAGCGCGGCAACGGGGGGATTTTAAATTTGTGAAAGAAATATTTTTGATGAATTTTTTTTTTTGGCAGAAGGGCGGCGGGGGAGGGGGCGAAAGGGTTAGGGCCAAATAATAATATTAATTATTTTTGATAAATTTTCTTTTTTTAGCACAAGGGAGGTGGGGGAGGTGGCGAAGGGGTTGGTGCCAAATAATAATATTAATTATTCTTGATAAATTTTCTTTTTTCAGAACAAGGGTGGTGGGGGAGGGGGCGAAGAGGTAAGAGCGAAATAATAATATTAATTATCATTTTTTTCCCATTTTTGGAGCAGTGGGGAAGGGGGCTAAGGAATTAGAGCCAAATAATAATTTCACGAGGGTCAAATGTCACGAGGACTACGAGGGGAAAAGTAAATTTCAAGAGGCTCGCGAGGGCTACAAGGGGAAAATTAAATTTCACGAGGGCCACGAGGGGAAAATTGAATTTCAAACTTCTCGTGACGTTTGAGCCTAGTGAAATTTCATTTTTCCCTCTTGGTTCTCGTGAGCCTCGCGATGTTTGATCCTCATGAAATTATTATTTGATTCTAATCCCTTCGCCCCCTTCCCCACTACTCCAAAAATAAAGAAAAAACACTAATTAATATTATTATTTGGTACTAACCCCTTCACCCGCTCCCCCTCCCCGCTCTGCATAAAAAAAAAGAAAAATAATCGAAAATAATTAATATTATTTGGTTCTAACCCCTTCACCCCCTCCCCCTCCGCCCCTCTGCAAAAAAAAATGCATATTATTATTTGGCTCCAACCCCTTCGCCCCCTCCGCCACCGGCCCGCTCAAACAAAAAAAATTTATAAAAAATAATGAATATTATTATTTGGCTCCAACCCCTTCGCCCCCTCCCTTGTGCTAAAAAAATAAAATTTATAAAAAATAATTAATATTATTATTTGGCTCTAACCCATTCGCCCCCTCCCACACCTCCCTTCTGCCGAAAAAAAAAAATTTATCAAAAATAATTAATATTATTATTTGACACTTCGAATTCAAAAAATGGCGCGACTGCGCGAAGTTAGCTACAAGTAACTACAAGAATTACGAAACAGAAATATTGGTAGTGGCAGTACTGCCACTGCGCGTAGTTGATTCCGAAATGCACCCCATTCTTTGTTCAATGCTTTTGGCAAATGGAGTGGGTAACGTCCTGCTGCCATCTGTTTCAGTTTTGCGAAAACTCCTTAATTTATGGAAACGGAGAAATGGCGCGTGCCACTTGCAGCCGCTAGAGGCGACACGATAGAAAAACCGCGCGGAACATTCGATTAACCCTTACGTACGGCGTCATTCATGGTATCGGCCCTTTCCGTCAACAGTAAAAAATCATTTTCTCTAATTCTAAGAGACATATTGACATTTGGAAAGTCAATGGAATTGTCTCTGCAGTAAACTATTTAAAAAAAATGCATTTGTAACATTTTTGTCGATGAATAAATTTGTAGATGAAAATTTTACATCGAACCGACTTAATCATATTAAATCCCGAATCCCATCCCGCTTATCGACAAAATTTCCCCCAAAAATTTGGAAATTATTACTGAAAATACTATAATGATGCTTCGATCGAATGGGAGAGGTTGAATTTCGATTTGTTGAATAATTTGTTTGTTATAAATAAATTTAGCATGTTCGAAGATCTCGGTAACCAATTGTCGGCAAACATTGAAATTGGTGTCAAAAATGAGGAAATTATGGAAAAAAAACAGTTCTTAGGAAGTTTATTTCAAAATTCAATGCAGCCAATGCATTTTATTTCAATTTTCGTTCAGCTGTTTTCAAGTTATCGCTCATTAGATAACCGAGTTGACGCGCCGTAAGTCTCCCCCGCCCGTTGGGACAAGCCGCGTTATATAGACGCCGTACGTGGGGGTTAAAATCCTCGCCTTCGGCTCGGATTATAAAGCCACATTCGTTACAAAAATACTTTTATCGCCTAGTGACATAATGTACTATTACATCACGTGATACAATTGACGATATTTTAAGAAATTCAAAAACATGAGCCTCATACCTCATAAAGAGTAAATTTCACGCGGATCAAACGTTGCAAAAGACCAAAGTCACAAGTCATCTCCATTATGAGAAAGTCAATCTCATAATTTCTTGAGCTTTATTGGATTCTCCACTTTACTATTTGAAGCCCCGGAAAAGCCCAGTTGGACCTGAAAAGACCTATTTTGTTCTGAAGAGTTCAAAAAAACTACCAAAGACAATCGAATTAGTTTTGTCATTCAAGAATGCCGAATGAAACAAGTTAATGTCAAGACAAAACATGATGACGCGACGAATTCAATAGAGATCAATAAATAATGAGATTGACCCTTGTAAAATTCATCCCTTACATGGTATGACCCTTCCGAGGTGTGACCCTCGAGACGTATGATCCTGGCGAGGTATGAGCTTTGTGACTTTTATCACCCTCGCGAGGTATAATCTTCGCGAAGCTTCACGGTTTACCATAAAAGGTAACTTCGGCTGGTTTCTTACAATTTTACATTTATTACGTACATTTGGGGTTTTTTCCAATGTTATGTAAAAGACTGTGGTTATCGACAGACGATGCCCAACCCTGATTCAGATAATAGAAAATGCGAGAGTTCCGTCCAAATCTGGGATGTGTAAAAGTGGTAGAATGCTCTGGAAGGACAGTGTTGGATGATGAAACAAACAGGTGACTGGTCACTGCAATCATGCGGCTGGAGATGTTCTACTGATAAGGGGTATCTTCATCTTTTTTTCTTGGCAACAAATTGATTGCATGGAATCGTATGGGCTCAATCGGATAAGTAATTTGTGAGATAATGAATGAGATAAATTTACATACAAAGTTGAATATCTCCGAAAGTGACCACCTGATTTAGCCCCTTTTTTAACATAAGCCGTTGCAACGATAAGAGGAAACTTCATGCCAAATTCGAAGTCAATTGAGATAATCGTTTCGAAATTTAAGAAAAACTGAAGAATGGAATCATCACAAAAACTTTGTATGAACAAAGTATAATACATCTATATATTTTGATTAATTGAAATAGAAAACATCGTAACGAATATTTTGTAAAAAGATTATTGAAAGCGCGGTTGACTAGTTTTCGCGGTATTGGCGAAAAACGATTTAAGGGGATACGTCGGTGAAATTTAAAAATCTTCACTGGGCCTTGGGACACATTGAACAGTTTGTGATATATGACGGAATACGGGAATAACTAGGGAAAATCGCAGACCCGATCGATTTTGCCCCGTATGACCACGAAAAACCGAATTTTTCTTGTTTTTACCTTTAAAATGCTCCTCGCGCCGTAGTTTTCATACGATTTTAGTTTTTTTAAATGTTCGTTACACTCCGAAGAATAAAGTTAAGCATCCGTTTTACTTTATTCCTAATAGATCAGGAATAAATGAATAGAAACAGAGACAATCCAAGACAGAGACAATATTTAGTGCTTTCTTTCTCGTGTTCGTGTGAACACGTCAGGGTTTGTTTAGAATTTCATAAATTTTTCGTGTTTCTAGAGTAGAATTATATAATTATAATCATTTAATAATTATATCATTAATATCATTAATATCATTTAATAATTATATAATTATATTCATTTATTCACGATCTATTGCGAATAAAGTAGAACGGATGCTTCATTTTATTCTTTGGAATGTAACGAATTAACAATAGGAAAAAATGAAGTTTTTTGTGGTTATACAGGACAAAATCAATGGAGTCTGCGATTTTCTCAAGTTACTCCCCTATTCCGTTATATATTTCAAACCGTTCAATAGATCCCAAAGGTCCAGTGAAGAGTTTTAAATTTCACCGATGTATCCCCTTAAAAATGGATTAGTTTTTCTCAAAAACAAATGGACCCATAAGGCTGGAATTTTGGAGTTTGTCGAAATCAACACCGAATATATAACAAAATTTCATTTTTTAGAATTGTGTCAGCCGTTTATTCATTCATTCGTTCAATTTACAAAAAATTGGGCACCCGTACATAAACATACAATCCTCAAACTGCGTATTTTTACGTTTCAGACCAAGTGAAAATGTGAAAATTGAACGATTATGTTTCCATTCGGCAGCAAAATCAATCGCTTGCTGCGAGAAGTTCATAAAAGTTGTGATGAAGAATATGAAAATATTTGCGAGACTGGAAACCTTTAAGTTCGCGGAAAGTTCGACCATAATATTTTATCTACAGCAGTTACTTCAATTCACCTTAAGTTATAGAAGAAATCACATAGTAAACGTGGATTTTGATGGAATTTCTTTCAGACAACCTGCACGATCTGCAGAGTAAAAAATGTGAATATGTTTTCCTTATCACATAAAACAACAATTATAAATAGATATTTGTTCTCTCTTCACAGACAAAACTAATTACCGTCCCAACTAATTTCCACCGAACTGGACAATTACAAACATTCACATGCGACGACTTTTGAGTTAAGGCTCGGGTGGATTATCTTTCGAACGTGATCTTGGTTGTTTTTTTTAATTTTGATAATCTGAAATGATCTTCAATTACTATTCAGTTTTACATAGTCCTGGAGTCTTCAAAAATTATGATCGTACAATCAAAAAAAGGTTGAAAAAAAGTGGAACATTTTTTATTACAAAAATAATCATCGAAATCTTTTCAATTATGGCTTAAAATATTCGTTTGGGTGTTATTTCGGTCGAGTTCGAAAATAGTGGCCATCGCATTATTTCCTTTGAAATTATAGCCTCATTAGGGGGGGGAGGCAATCTTGGGCCGACATTAGCCCGACCCTAGCCCGACATCGACCCAACACTGGCCCGACACTGACAAGGTCAAGTCACAGTCAAGTCAAGGTTGAACTTCCCTACAAATCTGAAATTGATAACAAAAAACTCAATATGCACTTTTTTGTTTCAATTCAATTAATCCATTCGGAAGCAAATTGCTAATTTATTAGCAAAAACACTATACTCGATTTACACCTGTGCGATGGGCCACTTGTTTTTATTATACAATCATAACTTTTCGGGACTCCTGTGCGATGTAAAATCCAATGGAAATTGTGATATATTTTACATTACGAAGATGGAAAAACAATCGAGCCCATTTCGAACAAACGTTCGAAAGATAATACATTCGGGTTTTAAGCAGTTGCATTACGTCCTGGACACAGTACAAAGTCCTGGTATGTAGGCTTCATATGGAACGTTTCAATGTCCGATATACAAAACTTTTAGATGAAATAAAGCAATGGAATCGAATTCTTTGATTGTGATAAATTTGGGAATTATATATTTCCGCTATAAATATATTAATGTGAACTTATATGTATACTCCATATACTTAATAGATGAAATTATTTGAATGTTGTACTCGCAAATTTTTTACTAATTAGGGGATCTCTTATCAGTGAATTTTTCCCCGGAGATGAGCAAATTACTGTCCATTTCAACTTACTTCCCCTTCGATCCCAACGCACCAGTGAGGAAAAAAACAGGACCAGCTTGAGATTGTGGTTTCAGATTCTCGTTCATAATTCGGCTTCACGATTCCGACAAACTAATGGATTCAAAGTGTTGACAAATACTAACTTTCATTAAAAGATCGCAAATCTCCAAAAAATTGAACACTTACGATCCTTTGTCTCCCGAGTTTTTGTGCGTTTGTAGGAGTGCCTCGTTCCAACATGTGTACATAGTGTTTTTTACTTGGAAAATTTTATTTTGAAAACCACAAGGATCGAATGTTTTAATGGTGCAGATGAACATTTTCAGGCTACATTATTTGTAAGATTCCCTTCCTACAGCATTTTATATTACTACTATCGGAAACTTCGCGTATTCTCTACGGCAAATCGGATCTAAGAGAATTCAACTATCAAAAATGTAGGGATCTCGGAGTACAGAGTAGAATCAAATTTTAAAAGCACTTTGAAGAGCTCAAATTACTTTTATTCAATGATTTCTATTCGGTCATTTTTACATCATTCATAAATCAATCAAGACCTTCATATCATTCAGGTTTAATCTTAAATCAAGTTAATCAAATAACGCTCCCATTTCTCTCTTTCTCTCAAAACTCTGGAACTCTGCGTGGAGAAAAAAAAACAACAAACTCATAACATAAAAAGCGTGTAACTACCGAGTAACTAAGTTACGGTCATCTTTCATAGAAATTCGTGAGATGGTTACAGTAATCAAGTATTCATTTCATCGCATACATCTAGGAAACTCAATCAATGAAATTGTTGCCTTCTTGACGCTAAATAACGTGTAATAAGTAATTTCAACTAAAAAAATTTCTGTCTTTCGACATCAAAATCTGCAGATTAACCATGAGGGGATTAACTAATGTACATAATCAGTCGTATCTCCCGACTTGAATCAAACTGTTGTTTCTTTTTTTTAACTCAACGTGTGCGGAGGGAACACGACTATCTTAAGTAATTTTTCTAAAAGAACATACCGTCAATCTCCAATTTGAAAACATTTAATATTTTCAGATGGAATTCACGTGTTCCAGTTGGATTGAAAAATAAGACACTAGGTTATTAATCAAAATTCTTCTGAAATTCTCTGAGAGGCCCTACGTGTGTTTCTGATTGAAAATTACAGATACGTTGCTTCAGAATTTTTTTCCAGAGATACGAATTTTCCGCTAGACCACATCAAACTAATGAAAGCAAAACAATAATCGCAACGATAAGTCCCTCTTTTTTTGTCCACGGATTTCAAGATAAAAAAGAGATTATGCATCACGTTTAGTTCACTGCGTGCAGTGAAATGTATATTGTAATTATGAATTATGATACTTCTTTTTCCTCTGCAGCAGCCGCAGGGTTCAGAAGTGGCACGCGTGCGCTTTTTTTTGTCTCGTCCGTATTTAACACAGTGGTCTCTCCTGTCGCTTCTTTTCCAACAATTGTCTCCATTTGCCGTTCAATAGCATCCATGCTAGCTTCGTCAGCATTTATTTCACCCTCTGGTACTTTTCTCACATTTTCAGAGGAATCGTTCGCGCCCTCAGTTACTCCTCCATTTCCAGTAGTTTCTTTAATTTTCTCCCCATCAGGATTGGATTTCACTTCTTCAACTTTTTCCGCATGTTCACCGTTAGTCTCTTCCACAATTTTCGCCTCACTTTCTCCTTTCGAGACCTGTTCATCATCCCCGTTGAGCACATCATCTGGACGTGGCGGACTCAAAGGCTCAGCCTCTGGACTCTTTTCCTCATCACTCGTGCAATTATCATTTTCATTATTTTGTTCTACATTTTTAGGTTGTTCTCCTTGCTCGGTCTCTTTAACTGCTGCATCTGTACCAGCAACTTTCTTTTCATCTCCTTCTTTACTACGCTCTTCAGATACATTCTCATCAGCTTTCGCTGTTGTCTCTTCATCCGGAGGTGTTTCATCTTCTTTCTTCTCTTCACTGTCATCTGGTTGAGTTGATGGAGTGTCTTTATTTTTTCCATTCGTCAAATGCTGTACATCCTCCTTCTCAGGCTCTTCATTCTTCTCTTCAGATATCCCCAGTGACTGGGATTCAGTACCGGTTTTATCATTGTCAGGCTTTTGCGAATCATTTTCTTCATTTTTTTCCTCGGAAAGTACTTTGCTCTCATTCAATGCAGATTCTTCCTTCTCATCTGCATTCTTTTTCTCTGCCTCCTTGTCTGCAGCGTCAACTTCTTCAACTTTTTCATTATTATCTTTCGAAAGTTTTGTTGTAGTTTCCTCTTCGTGTCTTAATACTCCATCATTTTTGTTGGATGTGTCGATTTCAGGTAGTTTTTCAGATTCAGTCTCATCTTCTTTTTCACTTTTCTTGTCCTCGGTAGGTTCTGTTTCGCCTACAGGTTGCTTTACTACCTCCGAAGATTTTTCACTGCCTTTAGACTCACCAGAAATTTCAACAACTGAATCCTGCTTGTTCTTTGCATCATTCTCATCAGGTTTTTCATCATTTTCAGATGGCCCAGCATCTTTGGTCACCTCTAATGCATCAACGGTTTTGGAAGAATCTTCGATTCTTTCAGTTTCGGTAACTTCTGTTGCAAGATGTTGCTGATCATCTTTCTCCTCTTCCACCTCTTTTTCTGTATCTTCAACACTCTCAGAGACTGAGACTTTTTCCAAGACAACGCCGAGTTTTTTCGAGTGGCTTAACTGATGGGTCATACCTTCAACTTTGGTCTCAAATTCAGTACTACAAACTGTGCAAGTGTATGGCTGATTGTCTCCATCACTATCAACCCGCTGTTCATCTCCTTCAGTTTCCTCCGTATTTTGAGCCTCTTCGTCCTGCCCAGCCCCTCTCCCTCGTCTTTTTTGAGCAGGTGTTTTAGGAGATTTGTCCGTGGATTGAGTCTTAGTTTTTACATTCTTAGTCGAGTTTTTGCTGCTCTCGGATTCACTGGTAGTCTCTTCAGTATCTTCTTCAGAGAGTCCTGTAGATTCAGACGTTTCTGACCAATGCTTCGTTGGTTTTCTAATTCGCGTAGACCTCCTGGTCCCTTCTTCAGCATCTTCATGATATTTCTCTCTCTGGGACGGTTTTCTTGGTGCTTCCTCATTGGACGAGGCATTCTTGGGAGGATTTGCTTTCTTGGATGCCTTGGATTTAGCTTGTACAGGTGCCTTCGCTTTTACAGGAGTTTTATTTGTCTTTTTATCATCGATTTTTTCTGCCTCTGGCTTATTTACAGCTCTTTGTGCTCTACCCCTCAGTCGCTTGGGTGCTGGATCTGGAACTTCGAAGTTGTCTGAATGTCTACGTTTGGGTGACGGTCTGGATGCGTTACTTGAGGTACTGACAGTGCTCATAACACTCGCAGCTCTCGTCTCTCTTTGGGGAATAAACTCCATGTCTCGTTTAGTTTTCTTGATGGATTTCGTGTCATTCTCACTGCTCGATCTTTTTGGTACTTTCTGAGATTTTACCGGAGTATGATCCCCTTCTGAATCATCCGAGATAACGTAGATAACATTCCCTTGTCTATCTAGTTCTGTCTTGTTTGCATCTAGAGAATTCCTCCGATTCCTGGATTTTCCATCTGGAGGATTTATGAGCACGTCCTTCAGTACTACTGTGCAAAGTTTAGTGCTAGATTTGACGGGTGCGTTGCGTTGCCGTCCCTTGACCTGCTTCGCTGGATCCATGGATACCCAGCAATCTTTACAGAGTTTCTGTCCTGTCGTATGGAATCGGTACATATCTATGCCATTCTCTATCTTCATCTCGCACTTGTCACATTGTCGATCACTTGGGGAAGCTGAACGACTGACTTTGGAGTTTTTCTTCGTCGGCATCCTATTGATACTTGTATGTGTGACAGGGGTTGACATGGCTGGCAAGGCTACAGAAGTTGTCTTTCGTCTGATGACATTCACATTTACCTGGAACGAGAAACGACATTATGAAAATGATAAAACCATGATTTATTGTTCAAGCCAAGAGACTCAGTATATCTGTTATTATTACATAACTATAGACATAATATAACATAGATTGTATTATATTATATTAATTTATTTTATTGTTTTCTTTCCAATTTTTCTTTGCGGTTAGATTAAATTAAATTTATTGGATTCTACTCCCATCATAGTATACAAATTGTGGGAACAGTTTTTCTCATTTTCAAATGAAGAGATCTTTATGTTAAATAATATCAGTATAATATAATAATTCCTCTCAATGAAATCCGATCATGAAAATGAAAAATTTCGTTTTCACGATCTGATTTCATTTAGAGGAAAGGAGAAAAATGCAGGGAGATATGATCAGCAAGAAAATAAAAATTTCGATTTTTCAATGTCTCCGGAAAGTTTTAAAATTGACATATTTTTTCAAATAATGAAAGAATACCCATCAATTCAATTTCTACCCTCACATTTTGATAGAATACATAAAAAAAATAGCAAAGAATAAAAATCGGAAATGAACAATTTTATCGGATTAAGGCCCGGGTGAACTTCCTTTCGAACGTTATCTCGATTTTTTTTTTCATCTTTCATCATCTGAAATTTTGAAAAATTATGAATGAATAATCAAAAAAAAGTAGAAGAAATTCTTAATTTTTTTAAAGAGCATTTTTCACTTATATTCAGAATCAATTGAATAACAAGAAATTGAAAAATGTATCTGATTTACGGTGACAAATGGCGGCCTGTCACCCAATATCATGCAGGGGGAAGATTGATTTCGTAAATCTTTTCCCACACTGCACAGAGACATTTATTACGGAAAAGGCTCTTTGAAAAAAGTTGTAATATTTTGGAGAATTTTTTAATTACACTTTTACCTTTTATCACATAAAAATGACAGATCACTACATACCACTGTTTTGATAATTGAGATACCTAGCTATCACTTCCCATGAGGAGTTATTGTTTTGTTATCCACCATGGAAAATGACAGCTAATAGATAATTTGCCACAGCGAATCAGATATTTGTAATTTCCACTTTTTTCAACTTATTCTGAATCTCAATTAAAAACGCACTTTGAAAAAGTTTTGAATTTTTTATATTTTTTTTTATCATTCTATCATAATTTTTGGGAATTTCTACATGATGTACCACTCAATTGACAATTTTAGATTACGAAAGATAAAAAAAATCCAGATAACAATCGAAAGATAGGACACCCGGGCCTTAATATAATGTGATAGTAATCCGATGAAATTTATAGTCTCCAATTCTCAATTTCTGTCATTTATTCTAGTCATTCTATCAAAAGGCAAGAATAGAAATCGAATTTATAGGTATATTCTTTCATTATTCAAAACCAAAATCGATTTGAAAGTTTTTCGGAGACATTGAAAAATTAATTTTTTTAGTTCTTCCCATCCAATTTTTTGCATTTTTTAAATTTGTTCTCCCTGAAATATTGATGTCTATCTAATAAAATGGTAAAAAAATCCCTGACATCTAATATTTCGGGCTGCGGAATTGGCGTGGAACTTTTCATTTAAAAAGATATAGGTATAGTAGAGGCTTCGTATAAAATACCTTCGGGACAGTAGGAGAGTGGAATTCCGGGAACCCCTATGCCCCCACTACGCGCGCCCGTAGGGAGGAGAAATAGGGGTTCAGCGGGCTTCAAATAAGATACCTCGCTCGTTGCGGGCGAATTCAATGAAATTTTAATCTAGTCAATTTATACGTGTTTAATGTTTTGGATTTGTATCACCCGCGTTCCCTTTTCTCTCTAAACATACCCGCGCGTGGTAGAATGGCAGCTGATGTTGGGGGATTATTGGTGGACTCGAGAATAATCACAGACGAAAAAATAACGATTTTTCGATGGGAAAAGTGTAAAAAAAAATCGATGTATATTTCCATTACTTGAAAAAAGTTGTGTGACCCCCCCTTACGGTCATTAGACCCTCATGATCACTTCGTTCGTCCCTTCCGTTTGACCCTTAATACCGTTTGATCCTTATAACTACTCTCTTCCCGTTGAAAAATGACCGGGTCCATAGGTATCTTATAAGAAGCCCACGGAACATACATTTGGGAGGCGATAAAAGTGCCGAGAGTGGAGGGTACGCCTCGAGCGCTCGGAGCGCGAGGTATCTCATAGAGAGCTATCTTATACCAAGCCTCTACTGTACATAACAAGTTGATAAAAAACTAATGAATTGTTGGTTATACAACACTTTCCCTTTAGGTGAGACGTTAATATATTCTCAATATAATGAGAAAAAGATCGTTTCTCCGTTGACAACTAAAGTCGAGACATTGCTTTTTGGGACTAATTTGGTGACTTTTCAAAACCAAAAAGTCGTATATGCTGACAGATACGACCTTCTGTTTTTATATCTCCAATATGAAATTTTCGAGATATTTATTATAAAGTGTCCTCCAAATTGAATTAATCCCTCACGGATGGGGCCCTTTTGTTACCAAGCGTGTTGTACACTCAACACAGCCAGAATGCGATGACTTCTAATCAACGGAAAATTATGAAACCGATATGTAATTGAAGCTACAGTGTTGGGATCTCTGACGGAGGCGTGGCTTAATATAAAGCCGTCTCGTGGCGAAATAGAGAACGAGCACGGGCAGGTCGAACGGCCAGATGCACACGGAGTTACACGCTAGCCCTCATTTTTATATATTACTGTTATTAAGTTGACTGTGATAAAATGAGTTTCTATTCATGAGATTTGTAAATTTGCTGATACACATCCGAGAGCCAAGAGTTTTCGAGGTGGAGAAGGTTTACAAAAATTTCTCTGCACAATTCCGATTGTTTGTGGGTGATTGAGGTGGCAGAATGAGTGAAGGAACACTTGTTCTCTTCAGGTGAGTCATTACTGAATTGTCGTGTTCAGCTCTGGCTGTAATTCAAGAAATCAGTAATATATTTCGTCATATTTTTTTCAATTCATAAATTTCCAAGCTAATATTGGAAATCGCTTTTTTACTTACATGGCAAAAATAAATCCTCTTCAGTGAAATGTAAAGAACAAACTCTCATGGAATTCGACACTTTTCTGCCATCCTCAATATTTTAATCCAAGCAGTAAGTCTATCAATAATTTTTTCTTCACCGAACTTTTTAATTATTGTAACTAAATCCACGTTTTGGCGAGGAAAACGATAAAATCTAACTTTTGAATTACGATAAACTTTGCTGTTACATCCATACACACTGCAAAACGTTTTATTCTTATTTTTCCTCTCCGCAAACTCGATGATCAATAAAATGTAATTATACTCAATATTCAACTGAATCAATTAACTTCGATTATTGCAAAATATCGTAATGATAAAAACATCGAGCGAAATGATGTTTATTCTTGCGAGAACAGTTCTGGCTCCGAGTTCAACCGGAGAGCTGACAGCTCTGCGACCTGCCCGAACTAGTAGTCGATTGAACCGCTAGAGCGCGTGTGCATTTGCAAGAGACCCCAATTCCCTTTCCGTTGTTATTCACCGAGAAAAAATATTTTATCATTCATTTTTTCAAAATCTGATTTTTCCAATTGAATTGCATTCAGGCGAGCCTCATTGGGTTTCAATTATGACAATCATTTTGCTCTAGAGGATGACTATGTTGAACATGACCTTGGAAGAACATCTCCAATGATTATTGATTCTTCCTAAATTTCGTATTTTCTACAGGGAAAAATTTCAATTAATTTTTTAATGTTTATAATTATGCATGAGGGAGTTCACTCCAGGTAATAATTACCATAATCATCTTCTAGAGCAATATGATTGTGATAATTGGAACTTAATGAGAATTGCCTGCGAATGACTCGACTAGAGAATTATGATATTGAAAAAATAAATACTTTTCTCAAGAAAATGGATATTTGACAAAAATTATTTTTTTTCTCAGTGTTGAGTTACTTTTTTTCTTGGTTGAGTTACTTTTCATAGTTTTGGAAATAATCAATTTTGAAGAGAGTCATTCACATTTTCATGGGTCGATGCAACAATCTCGTTTTGACAATTTTACACTGGATTGATTCTTACCTTCGGAAGTTTCGAAAATGCATCACCACTCGGGGAATTATTCTTAGCGACTTTCTTCAGGTCTGATAGGACATCTAGCTGGTAACGGCAATATAAACACACTGAGAACGTCTTATTGGTCAAGGAGAACTGAAATACATTAGGAATTAATGACTTAGTATTACAATAGCAGTATCTGATGGATTATTGAGGATAATATTCTGCCTTACATCATGACCGAATAAATCCTGAACTTGCGTGAAAACATTGTTGAGCGCTTCATTTTGGAGGTCATAGATGAAACCCTTCTTCCCTGGCTCTGAGCATATGTTACAGTGACCTTTTTGTCGTGATGATTTTTTTGTGTTTTTTTCATCATGCACTTGGTTGAATTTTCCAATAAATTTATTGCACTCAGTCAACTCGTAAGCACATTTATAACATATTTTCGTCGATGGAAGTTTACTTTTTTGTACCTAAACCCAAAAGTGAAACATTATTTAACCTCATTGATCCATCCATAACAGTATAATTTGCCCTTTCAAAAATTTTTTTTTTCGTTTTTCTCTTAACTGAAAAATTACTCATTATTTTAGTCGTACTTTTATCCATATTGGTAACCCATTTTATTTTTTACTGATAAATACAGTTTTTTTATGAGAAATTTTCGCATACTTGTTCTTTTTGTGCTTTTGGTGTGAATACAAAATATGGAAATAAACATGAAAACGTTATGTTGTGATTTTCGAGGTTTTCCATCAATATAAATACAAAATGGCCGATAAACGAATAGCTGAAAAATGATTTTTGCAATGTAAACATAATTTTTCTAGTTACTCTACATGAAAACCAAATGCAATCATTTATTTCAATCCTCCAAAATTCGTGTTGTTTCTTCTTTTATTCGTCTGTACCGAACGGTTTGTTTGAGATATCTGTTGAGTACACATAACCTCAATCCAAAGTTGAATTTTTAGTAGAGAATTCAGAAGGTTTTGGTCACAAACCGGATACGAATTGAAAAAAAATGCAAATATTCTTGAAAATTATATGAACTGTTTGTTTTTATCCATTTTTTACTCACCTCCAAAGATAAATAGTTCTCAATAACATCACGAATGTCTTTGCCGTGAGCAAAAACATCCAGGAATAATCCCTCATCAGTTGCACAAATGAGACACTCCTGCTTCGGCATTTTTGTTACTTGAAGATATCAATTTTTAGATTGTACGGTGAATTGCTGATTACCGATGTTTCTAAATACATGGAGAGTTAGCTATTGTATTCCACTGTTTTTATGACGCTAGCAAAACACAAATATTGCTCCGAAGTATGCCCAGCACACGCGCAACAAATTGGCGGCAATATACCAACGGATGGAACATGGAGAATTCGATTTTTATCGAGTTTCACTGGTATCGATATACGCCGAGCAGTTCATTCAACGGTTCACTCGGGCTTCTCCGTACTGCGCGATATGTTTGTGACCTCATCAACTGTGGGAACGGCTTTAACCCCTCACGTACGGTGTCCCAAGAACGCATCTTGTCCCAACGGCCGGGAGGCTTACGTCGCCGCGCCAATTCCATTGTTTAATCAGCAATAACTTGAAAACAGGTGATCGAGAAAACTTAAAATAAAATGCATTGGATGAATTGAAATTTGAAATAAACGCCCTGAGAATTCTGTTTTTTCCGCATTCAAGTCACACCGATTTATCCTCCAGGACAATTTTTCGCCGAGATCTCCAAATTCGCTGAATTTATTGATAACAAATGCATTATTCAATGAATTGAAATTTGACTTGTGCCATTCGATAGGAAGGTCATCAAAGTATTTTCAGCAAAAATTCCAAAAATTTTCTGTAAAATTTCCTCGACAAACGAGATGATTGAATATGATTAAATCGGAGCAAGATAGTATTTTCATCCACGGCTTTTGTTAATATAAAAAAAAATAGAAAAAATGCATTGAGAAAAAAAATCAAGGAACTCACTGCACAGACAATTTTATTGACTTTCCAAATTTTTTTTCCAAATGTCAATATCTGTCTTAGAATTCGAGAAAATAATTTTTTACTGTGACGGAAAGGGTCCATACGATGTATGGACCCCGGGCGATAGGACAAGTTCGTGTCTCCATACATCGTATGGAGCCCGTTGGTGAGGGGTTAAGGGGTCTCCTCAGTAGAGCAAAACGCGGATTGGCGCGCGGGTGAGTGGAGCGTAAAATGGTTAAGTTAGTGAGGTTATTTTCCAGAGAGACGAAACATCAAACATGGCGTGTGTTGGATAGTGACAGACATCACGCTAATTATTTTTATCGTTAATTTATTCAACAAATTACTGGCAAAACTCGATGAGACTTCATTCCCTTATTGTTGAGAGTTTAATATAAATAAGTATAGCTTCCTTTGTTGGCTAGCACATTGTCAACAGGGTGAGGGGTAAGGGACAAAATTTCGTTCTTAAAGCCCATGTATAAGCAGAAATTCGAATGATTAATTGAAAACGAATGAAACGATAAAACTATTCAGAGTTTTTTTTACAATTTTCCTTTTACCATTTTTGATTATTATATTACATATTCAATTCGCTAGCACATTGTCGTTTTGTGGCGAAAATTACTGAGGAGAGCACAGAAAGCCACCGTTTCCTTGAAATTTTCAAACAAATTTCCTGCTCAAACTTATTACTATTTTTCGAACCCAAAGCACATTGACCTTCTTGCTCGCCTCCTGATGGAGATTAATGTGCTTTGATTTGTAAAAATATGGATAACTTTTGGCAGGAAATTTGTTCAAAAATTTGGATAATTCGCGGCTTTCTCTTACCCCTTAAGGATGTATTACGCCCTTTTCGCCAAAATTCACGTTTTTTTTTAAATTTTTCTGGTAAATTGTTGATCGGATTGACGTGAAAAAATATGCCGTTTTTGTGTTTTATCATTACTTAATGACTCACGAAATTTCATCATCGTGCAATCATTTTCCTACGTTTTTTCTAAAAATTTTTGGAAATTCACAAAACTTAGAAAAAATGCAGGAAAATGATTGCACTACCATGAAACTTTGAGAGTCAGTCAATAATGATGAAACGCAAAAACGGTATATTATTTCGCGGCAATCCGATCAATAATTTGCCAGAAAAATGAAAAACGTGAATTTTGGCCGAAAGGGTGTAGTACATCCTTAATTTCACACTCCTTTTAGGTATAATTTTGTATAATATTCGAAAAAAAATCATAACAATGCTTCAGTGGTATGTATTTTTACAATAAATACACACAACATTCATTCAACTCATTCGATGATACCAGTGTTATCCATTATTATTACTATTATTATTAGTTTTCAATTATTCTGATGCTTTTCCATAATAACAAACAAAGAGACGAGTAAAATCCGTATAAATTCAAAGCCAACTATTTAAAATCAAAATTCTTTCTAAGTACCCATTCATACGAAACAATATATTTCCCATAACCACGAGATACACTGAGAAAAACAAAGGTTTTTGGGAAGTACATCTTTACTTAGGTCATGAAACTCGCGGTTTGAAAATTATCAAGAGCAAAATATCTTGCACTAGGAAAAAAAACTTCCGTCAAGAAATTTTGTGCTTATCTTAATGACGAGGACGATTTCTTGATGACAAGAAAGCGATTTTTCATACCAAGTTAAATTGAATTGATTCATTTAATAGTTTTTAAGCCTCAGTTGTAAAACATTTTAATGCAAAAACTACTTGAATTGATTTGAGAACTCGTTTTCTTGATATATGAACCAATGGCCCTTATCTTACGGACGAGTATAAAATTTCTTGACGTACGATTTTTTTTTGCTTAGTGGGAGATATTGTGCGCTTGGTAATTTTCGAGCCATGAATTTCTTGATACAAGTAAAGACATATTTCTCAAAAAACACGTGTCTTGCCAGTGTGTAACAAGGATATATGATAATTTTGTTGCTTGTACTTGTACTACTAAATACAAATCCGCGAATCTTTATCAGGCGCGGACTATTGTCAGTGCTACGATTTGTCTTGGAAGAATGAAAAACTCGTTTCGTCAGATTGTACTGATTGTTCTGTTAAATTTATGAAGAATAAGGTTCACAGCTCAGGGAGTTTGTGTTTATGTGAACATGTGTCCAAAGGCTTCCAATTACTTCTAAACCTTGGATAGAAGATGCATAACCGGTTTTTCAAGGTCACTGAATAGTATGAAAAATTCTGACTGGCAATGTTTTTTTATTGTACTTTTTGATACTTCATTATATGTATTAACTTTTCTTGTTGGAATTTTGAATTTTCTGCGATTATTCGTTTCTATCGAGAAAGTGGAAAACAATGATATTACGTGAGATTCACGGACAATAGCGTAATTGCTTTTATATCACATAATATTTATTCTGGATGGAAACATTTGATAGAAAATAGTGTCGGTTGTTAAGGTGTTTCGTGCAAAAAAGATAAATAATAACATTCATCTGGAATTCATGTAGAATGTTTATAATCACAATTGAATTATCTATGAATTTTCCTAGAATTTTTTTAGATTTCCTTTTCAAGTTATTAAGGAACTTCCGCAGTAAGCCTAAAAAACATGGGAGTGGGGATGAAGATTGTGCACTCTAACCTTGTTTTCTTCTTCCATCCTTCAATGTATAACCCCCGAAAACATGATGATTTTGACGCACATTTTTAATAACTCATGATTCCTGTGGTCATGAAGAATGAAATTACAGTAATGTATTTAGGAAACGTGTACGATCATAGGTATTTGGATTCTCAATGCATTTTCCATGCTCGTCATTCCTAATTGAAATTCTAATCCTCTCGAATGAGTTGACTGAATGTTGTGTGAAATTAAGGATCTTCTCGTGTCTCGTAAGGCTTTGTACAAATGATAATTTTAATTCTTTTCTCCACACAAATCGATATGAGAAAAAAATTCTAAAAAAATTAGAATTTAGAGAGAAAAAATCCCGGACCGCCCAGCTGGGATTCGAACCCGGGTCTCCCAGTTATGCACCGGGCAGTCTCCCAACTAAGCTACGTTGGGGGTTCTTCATTTGTTGTCTGTGATTATTAGACAGCCGAAACGAGAAACTAGTATCCCTTGTTTCGCATAAAACAAAGATTTTTCGGGAGCAAAATACGTATGGGAGTATCGAATAACGAAATAGTGCTAGAAATGACATTTCTTGCGTGTAAAGAGAATGCAATTTTTTTTAACTACTAAATCTATTTTTGCGACAAAAATTTTTCATTCCGGCGCACTCTCTGCATATTTGGCCCAAAAAAATCCTTCTTTGATCATTTTCAAAAAACTATTTTCTTGGCACAAGTAAGACTTATTTCAGAACTTTGTCGTTTTTCTCTCAGTGTAGTGTTTACCTTTTTACGTTTAACTTTCTGAAGGAGATTGCTATCTTTCCACAGATCAAAGAACCTTTTTTATTTCCTACAAGTGTTGATCGCTGTTGTTCATCACAATGAGTGTGAAGTGGGAATTTGCGCACTCAGCACGTGATGAAAAAAAAAACCCACTAGGATAGGCAAAATCGCTACGACGATCGTCTTTACAAGTTGATAAGTACTAAATCAGAAATGAATTCAATCGCTCCGTTTTTTCAGAAGATATCGTTGAAAAAAGTATTAGAATAATTCTTAAGGTTCATAGAACATGAACAAATCATGAAAATTTCTAATTTGATGTTTGGAATCATCACAACAACCCTTTGGATCAAGACGTTAAAAAAATGCAAAAATTCTCAGTTACTATTTTATTGAAACTATGGATTCATAATTTATAAAATTCTAAACAAAAAAATCTCCATCGATTATTTGTTTGGGGGTTCTTTTGATTCACCCGGAGTTTCATCAGCTTTGCCAAGATTTTCTAATGTGTCTCGCACAGTTTCTATAATAGAATTAGAGTATTGGACTGTTGAGTCTTTCAACTGCGGTACTTTTTCCTCTAGGTAATCAATACCGCCACATATCGCGGAGTCGATGGTTTTTAACGGTTCTTCTAGAGCATTGCCGATAGTACTAGTAACTGGGTTCATTATTTTCGCTCCTTCCTGCAAATGTTCCTCCGTGGCAGTCAGAATGGATTCAACTGTTGCATGAGATTTCTTCAATGAGTCGTAGGCTCCTGAAACCGTCGATGTCAAACCGGAAATTATGGGAAGATTTTTTATGCGAGTAGGAAATTGAAAATTTGGCTCTTCAGTGGACTTTTCAGTGGGAGTCGGTTCATTATTTCCGGATATTAGAGACGATTGCTGGAAAGAAACACCTTTAATCAATTTTTAATGTTGCCTTTAGATGAGACATATTTGTCATCGATCTGGTTACCCTAATTACTTGCAAAATGTAATGTCTTCGTTTTTCTCCACTTCTTTTAATAGCAAACTGATGGACAGTTAGAATTTCGCTTCAATTATTCTAATATCAAATGATCCATTCATCTAAAATATGAGTGATTTTGGATGAAATTAAAAAATATCCGCTTTGCAGCCGGACAAGAAAAAAAATAGAAGTGGCTCTGAAAATTTTCCTCTAAAATCACTCAGCTTTAGTTGACTCAATGGTTAGTTAGTGGCTAATTGGAAACCAATTTTGTCCTACAGCTTCAGGTATTTCGTGGGAAAAAGGTAAATAATGACATTCATAAATTTTCACATTTATGAATTTTCCTAGAATTTTTTCAGATTTCCTTTTCAAGTTATTAACGATTAAAGTCGCTTCTGATACATGGGCTCTGATGGAGCTTTTTTGTTTAGCATGAAACTACATTATCAGCTCAGACGGTAACGCAGTTTCATGCTGAACAGAAAAATCTCCATAAGAGTCTATGTATAAGAAACGATTTCAGCAGTTAATAACTTGAAAAGGAAATCTGAAAAAAATGTAGGAAAATTCGTAGAGAATCCAATTGTGAATATAAACATTCTACATGAATTCCAGATGAATGTCATCATTTACCTTTTTCGCACGAACCACCTTAACGTACTTCCCCAGTGAGTTATACTTGGTGAAAATTTCGCAGTGAACTGAAGACCTAAAATTTGGATCATATGTTGTTAAGCACATGTGAAAACGATTTCCAAAATTCCAAGTATTTTTTCCACGCGAATTTTTGAGATCTGCATCGACAAAAACTTAAAAAAGACAAAAATTGAATGTTTGACGATGGATAGCTCAAAATTTTTTAGGCTATACTTTCAAATGAAAAACAAACTTTCAAAATTTTGAGGCAATTTTTGATGTACAGAATTGGCAGATTCGCTCCAATAAAATAACTTACATCAAATTTTGAAATTCTTGATGGTTTCTATTAAATATTTTCTGCTAAACATTTCTACCAAGAAAAAAATTCAAAGAAGCTGCAAAATTTTTCAATAACATTTTTTTGCGAATGCGTTCGTTTTTTTAAATAAAAGTTGTTCGTGCGAGTATTCTCGGCAACCTCAAAAAATTCAAAGGAATTCGACTGAGTACTCCTTCAGGTTTCTTCCCCTAAATCAATTGATGAATCAATAAATCATAATTTTCCGGTATTATGCCTTCGCGCTTCGGCCAAATGTCAATTTCATTGTCATCGAAAGCTACCTTTTTGACCTTCAGACATTTTAAATTTACGTCAATTTGGGAACCACATTCGATAACATTTTGAAGATCAATTTTCTACTACTGAATACGTAAGTTGGAAAATATAAAAATACTAACGCGATAAGCGATGTTAACAAATTTGGAATTTGTTTGTTCTCCATCACTGCTCTTTTCTTCCATTTACGTTTAACTGTAAGCAAAGTGCTGTCGGAATAACCGAGAAACTCAGAGTCCAAGATATTCTAAAGTTAGACTAATCCGGATGACGTCAAATGTGCACAGTACGGTTTATGCCTCGGTTCCACCAACTGCATCTGTGAATATCACTTTTCTAGTGTCATTGATAGTGTAATTAGCTTGATATTGCTAGAAAACAACTCACAATGGTCTAGTATTTGTTATCCAGGTTATATTCTGGTGAAATTTTCATAATTCTCTTGTCGGACTATTTTCATGTGCAACTGGCATTTGTTATAGCAATTTTCAGGCAATCACTATTTGTACTAATTAAAAATAAATCTCTTGAGGAAGATAGTACATTTCCTCATTAGGACGAAATAGTACATTTTGTGATTAGGTCGAAAAAAACTTTTCTGGCGAATGTGAGTTTGCGGCCCGAGCCGAAGGCACTATTGACGAAAGGTACTGTTTCAGCCGTGTGACGAACAATATATTTGGAGATGCGTGCACGGAAAAGTCCACTTTTTTCAACTTGAAAAAAAAAGAGTAGAAAAGTATGATTTCTTCAACTTGTTAAAAAAAAGGTTTTTTAAACCTTATTTTGAGAACTGTTGGCCGTCCCGTCATGTCATCTACCGATCGGGTGGGGATAAACGCGGTAAAACATGTTCAAACATGTATAAAAGAGAGTCCCTATCCACATTTTGTCCTGATGTCTCCTACGATGATGTGCATTTACGTCTCTGAAAACCATTTCGTTGACGAATTCATTGCTTGATATGTTTGGGCTGTAACATGATTCTCGTTGTAAAAAACAGCTTCTAAAGTGATCTCTGTTTGAAGTTAACCCGAACACAAAGATAATACTTGGCACCAGGGTTGAGCATATTTCGCAGATGGGAGTTTTCGACGTGACATTGTCAAATACCGGTAATTTTCCTCTGGAGCGTCGTAAATATCAAAAAGTGTGATAAACATACTCACAGGAAGGTTCAACCGAAACATCACGGCGGTCAAAAGTTAGAGGCTCGCAGGCCGGATGATCACAAGGATGATACGGTCACGAGGGTCATGACCCGCGAAGGCCAAACGTTACAAGAAACATACCTCGCAAGAGTCAAAATTCGCAAGTCGGGTTAAATCACACAGGCAAGGTAATCTGAAGGGTGGAACTACCAAAAAAGTCGACCGAGGAACGCAGGCAGCGCAATGACAAGAAGGATCCAACAATTATGAATACCAAAAAAAAGAAGCACGAAGGACCATCGCAAGGGTCAAATAGGAGAAGAAATTCGAATAATCCTTCGTGATTGTTCTGCTTGCCTGCCTCTCATTATTGATCCGCGTGATTTTTAGACTTGCCTCTTCCGCAGGCGAGAGATAAATCAAGATGAATAATTTGAAGGCGATCCCGTTTGACCCTTGTGCTTATTTGACCCTTGAAATTATCCACCCTGACATTATTGTTTGGCCCTAGCGTTAGGGCCATTATGAGTTATAGTGGTTATGACGTTTGATCCTCGCGAGGTATGACCGTTGCGATGTTTCACCCTCGCTTCATCCCCAATCGCTCGGTATGACTCTTGCGAGGTATGATTCTTGCGACATGTGACCCTCCCCATATGAAAAAATAACACGGTTTTGCTCACGCCAATGAAGGTCGTCAAATGAGTTTTCGACATGTCAAATAGCTTGGATATCCCCCAAGTAATTTACCTAGTTTATAATAAGACAGAAACCATGTAATTTACCTGAGGTAATTTGCTGCCCAACCCTGCTTGGCACTATAACTTATGTAGGAATTATGCGTGTTTTTATTCACATTAGAGGACTTTTTCATACAGCTTTTGGCAAAAAATAGTGCAGTGTGTAGTGTAATACTTCTCCATTATTTCTTTGTTAAATTATACTTTGAATTGAGTTAATCACCAAATCATTAATCAGTTTATTATCGAGACATTTTTTCAAGTGAAGTGCATTTTTCAAACCATTCTATAATTGACTTTATCGAGAAAATCAACAGTGTACCCTTTAAAACCCTCTAGACGCGTGGTTTATGCCACAAATAAAAGTACATCAACGCTGTGGTTTTATAATTCACGTGTTCTTCATTTTTCACCCATTTCCACGTCACTTCTCCCCAACCCGCCTAAAATTCTAGCCTCAATATCCAACATTGGCATTTTTTACGTGCATAAAATGGGGGGATATGGACGAGTACTGTGATGTATTTACCGAGAGCCGTCTGCTACGCAAAGCCGAGCGGTTGACGTGTCTTGCTTCGCTGAAAACATCACACTATCCACCCATAGACGCCCACTTTATGCACTTGTAACGTAAGATGCTATTTTGTCATAAAGACCGTGAATTCCTGCCTTATAGCCGGAATAACAAAAAATATAATTTTCATATTGTTTGCAAAATAATGTGTAGGGTATTGTAATTATATCCAAATAATGTATTATAATTATGATTATTATTGGAAGGAAGAGAAAATCGTAAATCCAAAAGGATGGGAACAACACAACTCTTTTATTTACACATATTTATTTTTTATTTATGTTTGTTTTAATTCAATTCAGAATACAAAATAATGAAAAGTTATTGCAATATTTTTTATTATGAGCTAGTAATTATACATTGGAAAACATGGTCATTCTATATACAGTATAATTATTCTATGTACAGTATAAATTGGACTAAATGTAATGAACTACCCTCTACACACATTATACAACACATCTTCTTACGGGTATTGGAATAGGTGAAGACACTTTCCGCTGATTGCCAAATAAATTTTGAATGAACAGAGGTGCAATTTCATTGTTGTTCTTATAGACCTCCTTCATTTCATCTGACTTAATAACCGGCAAGCCCTTGTGAACAATAATCCTCACAATGAACAAGAGAATGTCTGTATTCTTATATTGAATTGCCAATTTTATCACATGAATGGCATCCTCATTGGTGATGATCTCCTTCAATTTATTCATTGCAATAGACCTCAACTCCTGAATATCGTAAGTCGTTGATGCAATTACCACCTTCAGGATTATCTCAGGTGTATCCAGTCCGCGAGTGTCCTGATCATGCATGTATCTGATGAGCTGCTTTACGGTTTCCACGTCTAAGTCATCAACGATAAGCTCATTACCTTTTGGTCTTAGATCCACCATTTTGGAGAACACAGAACTATGGAGCGCAAGCACTGTTTTGTCAAGGGAGAATTTTTGTCCCTTAATAATGAGGACCACATCTCTTTGGCTTTGACTTCTGCTGACAAGAGCACCCATTTTCAATAGACGAAAACACACTAAGATAACTTCGAGTAAAAGGGATCGGACGTTCTCTCTTTGGAGGTTTCAAGTTTAATGAATCTGTTGGACAAATGTGGGCCGTTTATGGCAGTGACAATTTTCAGCAATTAAAGGTAGGAACGAAGGGGGGGGGGTGACTAACATCTGAGGAGACCGTTGCGTCTATTCTCTACCCCGTGAGGTACCTGAGGGTTTAGGTAAAGTCTGGGCGGACTGAGTGACTTTCGCGTAAAGCGGAGGTATTCATAAGCATTTTATTGAATTGTCAAGATAGTTTTCCCTGACAATATGCAATTAGTCCAGTGAAAGAAGGTCTGAAATACATGGTTCTGCGAAACAGCCTGCTTTTTTGTGTAAAAATCAATTGTTGACTTATAATCAATATTCGGGGCTAATCAAGGTACTCACCCTCCATTAAGGGGTGAAAAAAATTGAAAATTACCCCCAAAAAAGTGTTTCTGAAATAACTCGAGAAATACTCGAGCTACGATGTGAAGCATAAAGAACAAAATTGTAGAGCGCAAAATTTTCTACAAAAAAGGTCCCGACCACTTCACCCCTATTTCGCGTCGTTCATCCCCCAGAGCCGTTCAAAAACTCGGGGTGAGAAAAATTTTAAAAAATATTCAAAAACAATTTTTTTTTAAATTTTCCGTCTTATTGAATGTTTAGAAAGGTTCAAGCTTCAAGTCTCATTTTTTTACCCCATTGGGAAGCAATTTTCACGGAATTACGACCTAAAATTCATTATAACTTTTTTTCCAATCGATGAATTTTTTTTTTTCATAAATTTTATTATAATATTTCCGACAATTTTTGTAGGAAACATTTTCATGTATCTCCTACAGGGATAAAGTTTAACGCAATTCTCTATTTCTACCCCTCCAGGTAGGCTCTATCGGAGAACCCCTGGTGAGAGAGAGAACAATGTGCCCTA